TTGGCAATAGCCATTCTAGTTAATATTACATCACCTTTTGAGTGACTTTCTAGTTCTCTTCAATGATAGAAGAGTGTATTGAGGATTTCCTTTCTTCAAGATTCATATCCTTGATAATTATCTATTATATTGATGATATCTTAATTTATTCTAAGATTCCTAAAGAATATAAAAAAAACATATAAAATTAGTCTTACAAAAAATAGGAGATGTAAGATTATATGCAAATTTGAAAAAATATATATTCTATTAATCAAAAGTAGAATTTTTTGAATGTATTATATCCAATAAAGGTATGTTGATGGACCCAAAGAAAATTCTAGGTATAACAAAGCAGGCAACTCCAAAGACAATATAAGATGTATAATGTTTCCTAAGATTTGTTAATTTCTATTAGATATTTATTAAAAATTACTTCTAAGTTGTTGCTCCTTTCACTTGATTGATATTCAAAGACAAATTTGAATCAAAACCTCAAGCCTAAAAGATTTTTTAAGATTTAAAGGTAGATTTTATTACAACTCCAATCTTACTACATCCATATTTCACAAAGACCTTCTATTTAGAAACTGATACTTTGAACTTTACATTAAGAACTGTATTATTATAGATGAAAAAGGATGAAAAGTTCTATCCAATTACATTCTATTTTAGAAAGTTTTAGTTATAGAGATCAATTATGAAATCCACAATAAAGAACTTCTCATGATTGTAGAGTATTTTCGTGAATGGCATCTCTTATTGGAAGGTACTATACATCATATGATTGTATATACAAATCACAAAAATTTGGAATATTTCATGTCAATTTGGATTTTGAATTGCTGCTAAGCACATTAGAATATGTCATTATCTTATTTTGATTTTGTGATTAAATATCAAATAAAGAAGCTATAAAGACTATCAGATGCTTTATTAAAGAGATCATATCTTGCTCCAAAGGTTGGAGAAGTAGTATTTAATTAGCAATATAACTTCGTCTTGAAGCCAAAACAATTTTGTCTTTAAGCTACTTTTATAGTTTCATCCATTGATTCAAGTTTTCTTGAACAAATTTGTACAATGTTAGTCCATAATTCATTAGTTTTTAATATGAAGCAATGTCTTAATAACAAGTTCAAGTTTATAAAAGATCTTTTGTATTTTGAAGATTGTTTATATATTCTAGAAAGACCAATATGACTTTGTGTTCTATAATCTTGTCATGATTTTCCAACTATATGATATTTTGGATATAACAAAATATTAGAACTTATTTCTTGAGATTTTTGGTGATTTCAAATATAAAAGACTATAAAGGATATTTTCTTCTTGTGTAACATTTGTTCAAGATTCAAGAATTCTTGACAATATTTTTATTGGATTATACAAATCTTGCCAATATTGAAGCATCCATAGTTTTTAGTATCAATAGATTTTATCACTTATCTAATATCATCAGCTACATTTGATGCTATCTACATTGTTGTGGATTGACTTACAAAGATAGTATATTTTATCTAGTGCAAAAGATAATTTTTGGAAAAAAAAACAACAATGCTCTTTTTTCATAATATATATTGATATCATGGCCTACTTAATGACATTATTTATAACTAAGAAAATTAATTTATATCAAAGTTTTGGAAATTATTTTTTAAGATATTGAAGGTGGATATCAAAAAAAAAATTATCTTCTACCTTTAAATTGATTGTAAAAAAAAACAAGTCAATCAAGTTTTATAGGAATATTTGCAATGTATCATGAATTATTAATAAGATAATTAGAACTTATATTTATCTTTAGCAAAGTTTATTTATAATAATATTCTTCATGCTTTGACTCAGCAAATACCATTTCACTCCAATTATGGTTATCATGCGAAGCTTCATTTGTTAGGTACATCAAAAGATGAAAATCCAACAATAGAAGATCTTGCAAAACAATTGTCATAGCTCTAAACAACTTTGAAGCTTCATTTATAAGCAAATCAAGATTCTTACAAAGTATCTTTAGATAAATTTAGAAATAAATCTCTTACTTTTTAAGTTAGAAATAAAGTATAGCTTTTCTGATGAAATATCAAAACCTATTGGCCTTGTGATAAGTTGAACTATCAAAGACTGTGGCCATTTTGTATTCAAAAGCAAATCAATTCAGTGGCTTATTGGTTGAAACTATCCATATTCATGAAGATACATTGAGTCTTTTTTGTTTCTTTCTTAGGAGCTTATTCAAAATTAATTATTTCAGAAAAAAATGCAACCATCATTGCTTTGTATTGAAAAAGATAATCATGTGGAATATGAGGTAGAAAAGATAAGTAAAAATATTTTATTCATTTGTGTAGCTATGATATCAATGAGCATATGTGAGAACTAATAGAAAATCTAATTATTGCAATATAATAAAGATACAAGAGTTTCATTGATACTATCCTCAAAAACCTAAATCTATTTCAAGATGATTTTTTTATAAAGTTATTGTTAGGATATTGTATATAATAAAGAGAGCACATATGAAATTGATTCTCCTTATAAAACTCAAAGTTAGAAAGAGAAGTAATATTACAAACATCCAACAAGAAGACCTTATGAATATTTTTTAAATATTTGATCAAATTCTTGATAGTTCCAAAAGATTTTTAAAATATTTTTATATGAAGATCTAGAAGATTTTCAAATTTTTTTAATGAAATATTTTAAATAAATTTCTAAATATTTTAAAAGATTCTAAAATGTTCTTTGAATATTCTAGTAGATTTTTAAAAGTTTGAAGATGATTAAGGAAGTTATTTGAGAAGCTTCCTAAGGTTGCTTCATCTTCAAGCAATATGGAAACTTCTCAAGAAGCTTCCTAATACCTAATATATATTGGAATCAAAGATGAGAAGATCCTTAGTCTCAACAATACATCTCTTGAAGATCTTATTCATTAAGCTAAATAAAATTGCTCAAATTGGTCAATTATTTTGTAACTTATAATATAATCTAAATTATTTTTTATTTTTTTATAATTCTCAAAATCTAGATCAAAATTTTGATTTTATTGTCAATTACAATAGTTGACTATTTTAAATTGTAAATAAAAACTTATATGATAATACTTCAATGTCTTTGTATTTTAGTAGAAACTATATCTTTTAAAAAACTTAAGATATGTAATCAAACTTAGATGAAATACAAATAGATGTTTGATAGTTTATATATATATATATATATATAATTTTAAAAAATTATTCTTATATTATAGAGAATTGAAACAAATTCTTTGATTTTTTCTAAAAAATAAAGATAATCACAAAGCAAAGAATTTAGTATTTTTTTAAATAAAATAAAAAATTAATCAAAAATAAAAAAATTTGTTTACCTACAATATAGACTATGCAACTAAGTTTTTATACATTATTGTCTTATAAGGGTCTTTTATCATTTTTTGAATAATTTTTTTCTTTTTAGTTTAAGATTGTTTGAGATTAAGATTTTTTTTTTATTAAATTTATTCCATGCCTGTAATAATATTACTAAGTATTGTAAGTCACTTTTAAAAGTATATTACTATATATATGTCATATCTCACCTTTTATCCAAAGAACAACATGTCTTTTTAAGATTTATATTTTTATTTATATATTGTAATGGTTGATACAATCTAAGCTCTTTACTTGCCAATTTTACAAATGACAACACTTAAGAAAAAAAATTCCAGCTATATTCTTTTTGATGGAACAAAAACAATTAAGCATTAATCTTTAAAAAAAAAAAAAAAAAAAAAAAAAAACTTGTTTATACCATCTTATTGATAATGGCTGGTCTTTAATTTTTTAAATGTTACTCATAATAAAATTAAAAATTAACATATTTTCAAGAATCTACTAATATCATATACATGCCAGTAGGTTAATTGCTATTGATATTATAGTAAAGTTAGCACATTTTATTACCAACTTTAAATAAAAGTTATTTATTAAAAACATCCAAATTTCTTTTTGTTCTTTTTGAAACTTCTTTAGCTATATCTTTATTATAATTAGAAGTTCTACTATTCTACCTAACAAGTTTTTTATAAATTAGGTTTCAACTTTTTAAAGTTAAAAATATCAAATTTTTAGTAATAACAATAATTTTTTTAAATCTTTGGAATTTTTGAAGTAGGTCGGGGGTTGACTAAAATGATGTTGAGCTGTGAGCAATAAATAAAATTCACTATACTTGGAATAGGCATGCATGAAATATCAATAGGTGGCAGATTTTGATTGGTTGGGGTGAAATAATAGTATAATTAGGTGTCATACTTCTTGATTTTGTAAAAATTGAATTTTTGGTTTTGTAACCCACCATTGATTGGAATTAGATTGGCCTACATGTTGAAAATGGATTAAAGAGAATCTTCAGCTAAACATTTGTATAAATTCTATTTTTGGGCCAAATCGTGTGAAAACACTTGGAATCCTCCTCATTTCTATTTCTCTACATGAGGGTATTTTATATCTATTTTTACACTCATTGCAAATATTCTAAAATGCTTAAGTTATCAGAAATGGATCATCTGCCTTAATTATACAAATAACAGAAGAAAAGAAAAAGAAAAAGAAAACTATAGCAGAGTCAGGACATGTCCTGAAGAGAAAATTTGTACACCACAGTAAATTTCGATTTTTTAAATTTAATTTAATTTTTAAAATAATGATTATATATTAATGTTTTTCTGCTGCCCTCAACGCGGTGATAGGCCGCCAAAACTCTTATTTGTATTGAAATTGTAAAAATGATGTGAAAATGTTGTAAGCCGGCACCACCATGGCCCTCTCTCCTCACGACTGATTGGCCGGCGGATCTACCAGATCGATCTACCGGGAGGGAGAAATTCCGATTGCGAGAGAGAGAGATTGCACTGCATTGACTTGACTGACTGTCGGAGGAGGAGCAAATTTCTGTTGGCCTTGATGCTCCAAACCTGCTTTTTGCTGCTCTCGCGATGCACTTGCCGCTCATCGCTCTCCGACGGGTACGTTTCGATTTCTCACAAAGCTTTGGGGGTTAGAGATATTCCGCCATGTTAGACCTATCATCAGAGTGCATCGCTGAGGGAGGGAGGGCATCGTCGGCTAGTCACACTGAGAGAGAGAGAGAGAGAGAGAGAGAGAGAGAGAGTTCATGCTCCTGTTTTGAAGGTCGGAGGAGAAGGTGGTTTTGTCGTGCATTGGTGGTAGATCTCATTTTCGAGGCGGATTAGGTCGCTAAATTTCGTGCTCTGCTTCAGCGATCTAGTGTGTCGTGTTTCTCTAGATAACTCCTCGATCGCCTTGCTTTTTTTGTTTTTGTTTTTGGTTTTTTTTTTTCTTGGTTTGTTTTTTGGTTTCGTAATCCGAAAATCAGCTTGTTTGGTAGAGGAGGTGAGGTGATAGCAAGGTTCGGCGCTTTGAATTTCACCGACTTCTTTGTTATCTTGGATTGATCCTCATTCCATGTGAATTTCAGGCGTAGTCGGATTGAATTTGTCATTTGGTTTGACAAATTTCAAGTTGCATCTCTATAACCGCTTATTGGTATGAAAATCTATCAAACAAAATAAATTTAGATGTGTAGTCATGCTTCTGTGTGAGACGCGTTCGCATAGGTGATCTCTTATTCATTTTTGTTCTGCCACAACTCTCTTATCAGTATGTCAACAATTGTCGTTCGAATCATCCTTGTCTCTTCTTACCATTCTGGACTCATTTGTTTATAGTGCAATATTAGTGTCATTGGTACTTCACAATGTCAATGTCCTCAGATAGCACAGCTCTGGATTTACTAAGATTATGTGTAACCTAATGCAGATTGAAGGGAGGAAATCGGACGGTTTTGGATTGTAGTTGTAGTGTTAGATGTTACTTGAACGTGCTGCACTGAGCTTTTGCGGAGGTATGTGGTTTTGCAGTCGAGCTGCTACTATTAAATCAGTGAAAGGTTGTTGGTGTCAAGTCTCGCGAACACATGTTCGATGATACTGCCGCTGCAGGAAAACATAGTTTATATGTATTAAAGTAATCGCCGAAATGTTGATGCGTTTCTTAGCTTGAACTTACTTTGCTTCTTCAAAACAACTTGTCCGTTGATTTACTATGCAATTCTACCGATCAAGTTAATTCATCGTTCTATGCCCTGAAAATTTTCAAGTAGTCAGTTGTTCTCGTCAGTACTATATAAGGGAATTTTTTTTGAACAGTAACTTCATCAATTTGTAGTGAATTCTCCGAGCTGAAAAGATTCAAATGTGTGTAGTCGATTTTGATCGAGTTGAGAATCGTGCTTACGGTCAGAGATGCTTGCTTGTTGATTAATGGGTGTGCATAATTTTGTGATTCATAGATTTCTTGCTCTGAAGCTGATAATCAGTCAGAGCGGATTGGAACAATATAGACCGCACCTTCAAAGCACCTGCTTGAATTGTACTTGTAGTGTGCAGTCAGTTGTGTTTAATACTTTCCAAACTCCGTGTAGTTTGTTTCCTAAACTTGCACCTGCGGTCAGACTGTCTATCTGTTTCCCAGCTGTGATATCTCATCCATTAGTTTGAATTCGTCTTTAATTGCTTCGAAGCTACACGTGCTCATACGTGGAAAGCGTGTCAATTCATGAAGAGGCGCAGGATTAGACAAATAGAGGTAGTATGTTTTCAACGCTTCCAGAATCGTTTAAATTTTTTTAATTCAGTAATACAGCTTCAAGTACTAGAGTTTCCATGAAACTATTTTGGTCGGTGCAAAAGCTTCCCGTTGCGCTTCCGAACATATTGGATCACGGGCAAAGCGGCGGTTCTCATACCGAACAAATCTGCCCCTGTTGATCAAATTCTTGTTGCTGTAATCTGGATACCTGTATATCGTAGGTAATGTATTCCTTGTTGGTTCTTTTGTTTACTAATTATTGTACAGAACAGTAACCCTGGTTTCACAGTATGTAAGTATTGATGATGTTGTGGACTGACTCAGGACATTGACTTTTGAGCTGGTGTTACAATGAAGTATGCTCGGACCAGACAGCATGCAGCCGCCACAGCAATTCAAGCAGCCTATCGTGGCTATGCTGTGCGTCGCACTAAACCTCTAAAGCATCTACGAATTATTAAGAGTGTGCGGACTGAACTCCAGAGACTTGAGTACCAGCTTGCATCTGACCCTCGACTGCTCGAATCGCTGCGTAAAGACCCCGCAGAGAGACTGAAATGGAGCGAGGGAGCCATGGCTCTCCTGTTGCAGCTGGACTCCATGCAAGGAGTGCACCCCGTGGTTCGTGACAACCGAAAGACTCTGACTAAAGAAGTTATTTCGTACCAAGAGTATCTTGACTCTACGGGTAAAGCAGGTTTCGGTGCTAGAGATCAAGCAAAACATGGTGCTGCACCTCCGGTACCACCTGCTAAACCGCACATGCCGTATATCCACAATGCTGGTCAGGCACCGCCACAGAGTGTACCTGTTTATGGTCAACAGTCATATCCTACAGCAAATCCACCTTCTTATTCTCCAACGAATGTATCATATAGTCAGTGGCCACAGGGATATAATCCTCAGAGTCATGTACCATATGTTTCAACGGGTTCAGGCCGCACGCAACCAGTCGGTTCAGTACCTCCTAAGACCGCATATCCCGGTCCCATACCTCCTCCAACTCAGTACTCTGGGCAATCAGAGAATTTTTACCCTACTGCAGGTGAGATTTGCGAGGTCCATAATTCAGGTGCATTGTTCCGTGATTGCTGGGATTCGCTTCTCTCTTTTACAAGTGCTTGTTTAGTGGCACTATTGTTTTGATTATTCTTCTTAGCTCAATCCTATCTCAGTATGTTGTTGTGTTGATTGCGGATAAACCAGGCAATTCCCGCTATGAGTATGATGCGCGGTTCCCCCCAGGTACAGAACCCGATGTAATAGATTTGTTCAGAAGAGCGGATGTTGACGGAAGTGGAGCTATTGATACTTTGGAGCTGCAAAGGATTCTGTCGTTAAAGTTCTTCAATTTTAGTCGCAAAACTGTGCGCCTCATGCTTCATCTTTTTGCAGATGACACTACTTCAAGTTCCAAGTAAGAATTAGTTGCCCTTTCCTGCAAATTTTCTGCATATTTTCTACTTCAACAAGCACATCCATACTCAGTTGAGTCTTCAGTGACAATCTGGACCACATTTTTTACCTTTTTAAGTACCTTTAATTACTACTGCCTTTGTGTCGTGTTTTTTAGACTTGGACCAGAAGCATTTGCGAAGCTGTGGAAAGAACTAAGAAAATGGCAGCGAGTCTTTAAAACCTTTGATCACGACAACAGTGGTAGTATTGATCTGCCTGAGCTAAGGGAAGCTATGCTAAGCCTGGGCATCGGGGTCACTCCACAGGTGCTACAGCTTCTTGTTTTTAACTATGATCGCAGTGGCATGAACTCCAGCATAGCATTTGGCGACTTTATTGAGTGTGGGTTGATCGTAAAAGGCTTGACAGAAAAATTCATTTTACACGATCCCCAATACACAGGAGCTGCTAGAATTGACTATCAGGCATTTATGATGATGGTCTTACCTTTCATCGTATCCTGACTTTGCAACTTTGCGCACATTAGTGGAGTTTTGATGCCGTGAATGCCTTTCAGAATGAGATTGAGAACCTGAACTAGTAATTGGTCACAGGCTATTCTGTATCAATACCGGGCTCCCCAAGTGGCTCAGCCAATTATTTTACCTATGCACCCATCTGTACACTGTAGGAGCAATGGATTTGTGACAGTTTATCGTCAAATGACGTTGATGCCACATCTTTTCATATGGTGGGATTGTTCTGGTGATGCTGATGAATTCATGAAGCTTCTCTACCTGCCCCCACTTACACCACGAGGCTGATTGTATGAAAATTTACTCGACTTTTGATTGTGAATGCTGAACTGGGAGTGTCCTATTGCAATCGCGGATATACCAATTTGTTTACTGTATATTAGTATCGTTATTCGATGTTATAAATTGACTCAAAGTTTCTTAAAAATCGACTCTCTGAAATAGTTCAAATACAATGCACACTTGCTCAAGAAAACATGCTGCAAAGCATCAGTTGCTAGGAGATAGAAGGACCTGGCATCCCTGTTACACAGCCGGTAGTTTTGGGCTCTATTATGGTGTAACTGTGACTGAATCCTCTAGCCACTTATAATTAACACTTGGAAACTATAGCAAGACAGCATGAAATCTGGTTCCAGAATCCTAAGTATATGGAACTTGAAACATGTGTTGTTCACTCTCGTATTTATGTACGGGGGCTTGCAGAGCATGATGACAGAAGCAACGTTGGTTGGAAACTTTAGCTTCACAAGCTGAATGAAACACAAATAGCAGGAACGAAACCATCGCGAGAAGACAAGAGAGCTTGATGTGCTGACGATTGCAGCAAAGAATGAAGCCTTAGCTTGAAGGTGCCGAACAGGATCGTTGAGAAGACTAGGTTCTCGATCAGTTTAGGGGATGCGACGCAGCCACCTGTTGGCGCCACTGGAGCTGATGACCGTCAGCCCCGCTGTGGTCATGTACACGAGCAAAACCATTCAAAGATTTGTTAAGAAGCTTGGCCTAGTGACGCAAAAGGAAGTTCGAGACTACTTGCCGCATGACTACTTGTCAATGTCCTTCATGAGCACTTGCAGCTCATCAACGCGCTGTCCTCGAAATCACTCGTTTCAACCTCGCTTCTATTTGTCTTAGGTTCAAGGGAATTGTGCAGTCGCGAAAGACACAGTGTGACTGTGTAACGCAACAGCACCTTGGCGAATTCACGATGCTATGACCTTGCTATGTTGGTCAAATTCTGAGCGGCATTCGAGCTGAAAAAAGCAACATCGCTCAATCTCGAAACACTGATCTCTCCCTCCCCCTGAACAGCGCCGCATGTCGAGTGCCCATACCGACTCAAATTTGCACCGTGCTCAGAATTGCATCCAGCGTTGAAAGCATGTCACGATTGCTTACGGACTGTGTCGGCATGCATGATCTTCATTGACGTGTCGGCCGAAACGTCGGATTATTTTCTTCTGAATCCAATACTCTCTGTGCATGGCTTTCAACCGCCAAATAGGGGTTATCAATTGTAACGAAAAGCCTGGCGGATCAAATCCAATTCGTATTTATTTAAGTAACCCTATTTCTGGTTTCATATAGTTAATGTTTAAAGCCTCCATTGCTATACCAATAGCATTCTCAAAAGAATCAATTGCTCATTAATTAAATTGCAAGTTAATTGGAAGCTTACACTAACTCAAAAACACACTTGCTTTAATTAGAATTTTTTGGCTAAAGAAAAGTTAGTTTGTCAAGTCTCCCATTGTTTTAGTTTAGTATTGATGACAGTTGGATTATTTTTAATAATATTGTATGGTTTTACAACATTGATTGTTGGAACACAATAGAAAACCTATTGTAATATTAGTCATGGTCGTTCTTGTTCACTTTTTCTTTTTTTTTAATACAATATTACATAGGATTTCTTTCAAATATTTTCCAACAACAGTTACATGATTCACAACATTCTTTATCACACATGGTTTTCAACAATTGTCTATTTTGAAAAATCAATTTTCTTTTAGTTGGTGTCTTTTTTAGTTCTTAGAAATTTAAACAAATATATATATATATATATAGATATATATTCTCCAATATTATTATTATTATTATTATTATTATATATAATACAGCTTAAAAACAACTTTGCTTGAATGATATTACTTTCAAATAACTAATAGAATTGTACCACTAGGATGATCTTATCTAATTATCAATACATTTTAATTACAAAGGTTATTATTAGAAAATTTTATAAATGCTATTTTAAAAAAAATACTGACTTTACATAAATATTGAAGATAAAAAAATTAAAAAAAACTAAGAAATAGACAATTAGAGTCTAATTATTAAACTTGTGATATACTTTTTGAAACTGCTTCTAGCTTTCAATAAATCACACATAGTTAGAGTCATTTATCATGTGTTTAAAACGCCAGTAGTAGTAATTTTATAATATGTACAAAATTAAATTACAATATTTTAAAAATCAGTGATTGTGGGGTGGTTATTTGTTTTTTACATATTAGTGCATGATTCTTTTATTTTGTTATGCAAAGTCTTAAAAAAATTCCAAATTATACTTACTACTATTTAATGTAACGCCTAAAAAATATTGTGAATATATTTTGAGCAAATTTGAACAAACTTGGTTTACATAATTTAAATTGAAATAAACAAATTTTGTAACACGTCTTGTTTAATTTTTCAACTTAATTGTACTTATTAATGTATTAAAAAATCGTAACCATTTCTAGATATAAAATTGTTGTGTTTGTAAAATACTGTGGCACATGCATTATTTATTGCTGAATACATATTCCACTCAACACAAGTAGAAAATGAGTGTTTGTCAAAATATTGAAGGCTAAAAATATATCAACAAATAAGAATGATCTGTATATTCATAAGTTGGTTAAACAATGTGTAATATATATATATATATATATATATATATATATATAATCAATATTTTTGTCAAGGGATTGATCAATTGGAGCCATCCAATCAAACCATTAAGTTGTGCTTTGGGCTTAGGTGGTAATTGTAAAATGAAAGTTTGACAAACTTTACACAATTCATCTCCTACAAACAATCCCTCCACACTTTTTAACTTCCACAACATGTAGATGATTCTAAGAAATAGAGGTTCCTTGTTATGGTTTATTTACAAAGTTTAAAATAATTTGAAACAAATATAGTTAATCAATTATTTTTTATATTTTTGAAAGTATTAGATGTAATTTTTAAAAATTGTACAATTCATTTATTCAGTATTCTATCTTAAGAACCTTTACAATGATGCACTGTCATTTTTTTGCATGCTTCAATTCTTGAGGCATCGAAGTGGGTTTTGGTGCCGCCCACATATCATGTGAACATGTGCCTTTTTGTTGTAAAGAGTGAAACAATTTTATTCATTTCTAAATATAGCTATCAAATGGACAAAATTAGATGGGGCAAACAAGTAATATGCTTATTTATTTGTTTATCTAGCTTCAGTGAAAGAATATTCTTTATAATTAAACAACATATTATTTTTATTTTTATTATTGAATAAATGGTAAAGTAAATAGAATATGGCCATTATGTAGAGTTTGAGGATGCATGATGCAAGAATTATCCAAAGGGACCATCGGAAATTCAAAAGAAAGAAAAAGAAAGACGGAGAAGAAGAGAAAAAGAAGGGTGTCTTTAATAGAGACAAGCCAAGTCCAGAAAGAAATAGATTTGTGCAAAGAAAGAACAGCTGATGCGTTCACACTACAACATGCCCATCAAGTCTACACGGCCGTGGGTACTAGTTTACATACCGTGGAAACAACGCAGCCCGTGGCAGGGTGGGGACGCTCGTATTCATTCGAGCGAGTGTTCCCCCAACGTTCCCAGGGACGGGGTTTGTATGGCCACGTTGGAGTGAGGAGCCTTTTCTCTACATCTTTCTCACCGCAGCGCTTCCACCAGTTTCCAACGTCGTCGTTGCTTTGTGGTGCTTCTCGCTGCCCCTGCTGCCTCTTTCTTCTTCTTCTTCTTCTTCTTCTTCTCCTCTCTTGAGTGTTAGAGGTAGTACGTTTTTGCTCTTTTTCTGTTTTCGTTGTCTTCGAGGGGTTTTCTGAGTCTATCGAGTGTCTAATTCATCTGCCGGTGCAACGAGAGGGACGTCTTCCACGGCGAGTTTAGACTTTTTTATTTTTTTATTTTTTTTCAAGGAATCTAGTGTTGCTGGGAGTGGCAGTGATGGATTAGGGTTTTTGGTCTCTTGCGTAGTGTTTTATGCTATCCTGCAGCTGTGCTGAATGCTGAGGAACGAGTCGAGGATCTTATAGTGCGGCTTCATAGCACTTGGTGGATATCTGGCGTGGATCTATCTCTGGGGTTTTATTGGTTTGAGTACACCTCGTTTACCTTGTGATAGTCCGTGAAGGAAGTGGCCTCGTTGCGTTATTCTGAGAACGCCTAATAACAGGTCGTAGATAAGTGGGAATCTGAAGTTCCAGTTCCAAAATTTCCTGCAGCTATTACTCACTTGTAGGGTTTGAGCCTACTAATTACCACGATATCCCTTGATGCTATCGCGTAGTCGAGAGAGAACACTTTTACAAGAATTTGAGTTCTACAGGTGAGTTTTATTGTTTCCTTAGGATGGTGTTCGTTCCAGGTTATTTGTCCCTCCATTGCTCTCCTGAAAGATTTTTCAGCTTTCGTAGTTTTGCTCCATCTCCAGTGACTGCCTCTTCACCTGCACACATCTTTCCCCCCTTTTGGTCTTGCAGCGGAGGGGTTGTAAGTGGATATGTCCATTCATATTTCGTTAGGGCTTATTAGTGTTGTAGTTATTTGTTAGTGCATGAATATCAATTTGTGAGGTTAGTTGGTTTAGGGTGAAGTGAGGGAGGGCGGTATTAGTGAGTGAGTATGTTGTAGGCTTGTTCACCGGATCTAACGTTTGTTTCCTATTGTAGGGCGGGCAAGTTCATCACCTGCTGGAACAAGTCATTTACGACAGTGTACGCGTGGAGTTGCGGTCTCGATTTAGGTGTAAGCGTGGGGACGGCTGTGCGGTTGCCGGCGGGTGATTGAATTTGTGCTGACTTCGTCGCTGCTATTCTATGCTTCCACAACCATATCTTTGTTAGATGTGACTGCAGAATTGACCAACTTTTAGTTGTGAAGCGGAGTTCGGGAGTTACGTGAAAATGGATAGAGGAAATGCAGCAGCAGCAGCAGCCGATGCATTTTTGGCGGGGCTTGAGAAACAAGCAGCTGCCGAACAGTTGAAACAACAAGAAATGAACACTTTCGCATCCAATGAATACGTTTCTGGGGATTACGGCTCTCACAACGGGCATGACATGGGCTATGGCACCTACGGTCAGGGTGCAGCTCCAGCCCCATGGTTACAGCAACAGTCATATGGTCAACCAGGAGCATATGAACAACATCACTCAAATCAGGCGCAAGAGTACTTCCATCATGGTTCTGCCGAAGTCAGTGGTGGTAAAGCCGGGGAAGGGAACATTGCTGCTTATGATGGCTACAGTGACATGATTGGGCGTGTAGGTCCGAGCTACGGTCAGAGTAACGGGGCTGATGAAGGCGGTACAGGAATTAGCAGAAGTGAGGAGCATAAACACTGTAATCACGGAGCAGTTCCTGGGGAGCACGGTGGTGCTGACGAAGCACAAAAAGAAGGTGGGCGAGGGCTTCAAGGAGAGGGAGCTGTTAGCGATGCGAAAGACGATCAAAATGCTGTCTCAGGTGGAGATACGAGTTCTGGTAAGAAAAGGAGGAGTCGTTGGGGCCCTCAAGAAGGTGATGGTGAAGCGAATGATAATGAAGGGTCAGGGGGCAAGAAGCGGAAGTCCCGATGGGCTGCAGAAGAACCGAAACTTCCATTGCTTGGTCAAATTCAGCTGCCTGATTTTGTGAAAGAGCTTACTGGTGGAGTTGACCTGGATCCAGAATTGCAAGCACTCAATATTAAACTCCTTGATATCAACCGGAAGTTGCAAACTGGTATGGTGCTTGATCCCGTTGGTGATGGAAATCGCTCGCCTTCTCCTGAGCCTATCTATGACAACATGGGCATAAGGATTAACACGCGTGAATATAGAGCCAGAGAAAAGCTGACTCGTGAGAGACAAGAAGTGATTGCCATGCTGATTAAAAAGAACCCTGCCTTTAAGCCTCCGGCTGATTACAAACCGTTGAAGCATTACAAAAAGCTCTACATACCAGTGAAAGAGTATCCAGGGTACAATTTCATCGGCTTAGTCATTGGTCCTCGTGGCAACACTCAGAAGCGGATGGAAAAAGAGACAGGAGCAAAGATTGTTATAAGGGGAAAGGGGTCAGTTAAGGAGGGACGGTCAGCTCAAAAGAGGGACTTAAAGCCCGATCCTTCTGAAAATGAGGATCTACATGTTTTGGTGGAGGCCGACACAGAGGATGCTTTGGAGAAGGCCGCAGGCATGGTTGAAAAGTTATTGGTGCCGGTCGAAGAAGGGAGAAATGAACACAAACGAGCACAGCTACGGGAGCTAGCAGCTCTAAATGGAACTATACGGGACGATGAGTATTGCCGCCTCTGTGGTGAGCCTGGGCACAGGCAGTACGCTTGCCCTGCTCGGCACTCTACTTTCAAAAGTGATGTTTCGTGCCGCATTTGTGGAGACGGTGGCCATCCAACTATCGATTGTCCTTTGAAAGGTTCTGCGCAGGGTAATAAGATGGATGATGAATACAAGAACTTCCTTGCTGAACTTGGTGGTGGTGGTCCTGATGGAAGCGCCTCACCTGCTGGAACTGGGGGTAGTGGTGGGGAGGTTGGCTCCACTCGTCAATCAGGTCCCACGTTGGCATTGACTGGCCCTCAAGGAAGTCCTAGCCTTTCATGGACCGGAGGAACCACAGGTGTTACTAGTGTACCTGGTGCTATGATGACTCAAGGAGGGCGTATTGGTCCAGGCGGACCAGGTCTTGGTGCACCAGGAGCTTCTCCTGCTGGAGGCTTCAATGGAGGGAATGGAATGGGTCCTTCTAGTTTTGGGGGACCGCCAGGCCTTGGAAGTACTTATCCAGGAGTTTCGAAAGGTGGGAGTGGAAAATTTAACAAGGACGATGATGCTAATCTTTATGTGGGATACTTGCCCAGCACAGTTGACGATGAAGGATTGGCGCGCCTGTTTGCACCTTTTGGTGCTGTGGAACACGCAAAGGTCATTAGGGACCGTCTCACTGGTGTCACTAAGGGCTATGGGTTTGTGAAATTTTCTGATCCGTCTTCTGCAACTGCTGCGGTGACTCACAGGAACGGCTACCGGTTGGAAGGTAGGGTTCTCGCTGTGAGAGTGGCAGGACCTGCGCCACCTCCCAGAGGTCTTGGTGGAGGAAGTGGAGGGCCTCCTCAAGGTGGTGATCCCATGGGAGGAGGTGGATACCCACCACCTATGCAAAGTGGTGGGCCTCCTCGAGGACCTCCAGGTAGTGGTCATATGGCCCCACCTCCATGGGCTACTTCACCAGGTCCTATGCCTCAATACAATTCATATGGTCCTCCTCCACCTGGTTCTAATTCGTACGGTCCTCCGATCAATCAAGGTTACGGTCCTCCTCCCCAAGGGCAAGGTCATCACGGACCTCCTTCCAGTCACTATGGAGGGCCATATAACAGTTACGCTGGTGGACCACCTCCTCAAGGTGGACCTCAGGGGCAGCAAGGTGGTATGGATGTAGGAGTGCATGGAATGCCACCTCATGGGCCTGGGATGGGCAGTATGCCACCAGGTGGGCAAGGGAGGATTGGCCCAAGACCAGTGAGCACAGGACCCATAGGTGGAGGAATGCCAGGAGGTTACGGTGCTACTACTCAATACCATGGTTATTACGCTCCTCCTCCACCAAATACGGCTCCGCCTGTTCCTCCACCTCCTGTGTCATCTAGTGGAGCTGCACCAGCCCCCAGTTGGGGTGGGAATGTGGGTGTACCTCCGGTTTCAAGCGGACAGAGCAATGCAGTTGAATCAGAGTATGAAAGGTTTATGTCGGAGATGGGCCGCTGATCCTATGATTTGATCTAACAATGTGGTTACTCCTCGTTGATGTGAACAACTTGGGGTATTAACATGTCTCTCATGTATCATTGTGAGCCTACAAGAGAATTGGACACTAGGTTGAAGGTTGGGTTGGGGTTAACGTGAACTTTGTCAAGCTAGTGGTCTTTGCTGCACTTAGCACCTGTCAAATGCACAGGATGGTTCGTGAAGTGCTCTGTGTGTCGGAGCGTCGTTCCTCCATTCGACCTTATGTGGAGAACTATGGAACCAATCTACTACGTTGGAGGCTGTGTAGAGTTGCATCAAAAACGTGGTCTTTATCAGAGTGACCAACAAGAGGAGATGGGCTTTATAGTGTTGCCTGGGACTGTATCACAACTTCCCTATCAGGTTGTGGGACTTGACTGGACGACCTCAGACTGGTAGAAACGCAATTGCCTCAACTTCTGGAAGATTGCTTTAAAACAGGTGCACGGATTTGTGCTGCAAACGGAACCTTCCGGAACCTTTTTATGACAGGAAGATATAGAAGACTTGCTGCAGAGATGTTCTAACTCGGTACATTGGCGTGGATCCTAACGTGGTGGTTCTGTGGAATATTGATGCTGAATGTGGGCAGATCTTTATTGGAATGTCTGTTCCTGCTAATTTTTACATTACACCTGCCTTGTTATTTGAAGTGCATAACGATGTAGGTTGCGGCAATTTGTTATATGTAGTGTTGAGAATGTTTATGGCAGCTGTGCTGACGGAATTTCTATCGCAGGGCTGACGTTTAGTGTTGATAGGAGCTCAGAGTGACTCAAGCTATAGCACTAGGTTGTCCTGTTGACAATAAGTTCATACCGATGTTATTTCAGAAGTTACATGTTTTTCACATGTTTATCGTGTGATACTAACTTTCATGCTTAACGTGGTGCTGGCATCCTCTTTGTGAATATCAAGCTGGGTTAAGTTAAGATTGTTTCATGCTGAATGACGTAACAACTGCGGAACTTATATTATTAGTTTGATGGAACCTCGAGTGGCCCTCATGTCTTTGAAGGTTTTGATTCATGTCTTCCAATGCCTTATAACATTCCTAACTAGTTGTTTATGTCCAGGATAGTAATTATCTCCTTCATGTCTTCAGGTATGAACCGACAGATCTACTCTTCCAATCTACAGGAAGCTTGTGATGTGTAGTTTTGGCATGTCTGTTTTTTAAAAGGAGTTGTAGTCTGTGTTTCGGGGTGGTGTCTGATGCCTTGGTGTGTCCACAACTAATGTATCTGGTAATCGTGTCGTGATTTTAACTTATCCTTGTCCACAAGTGGGATTAGAATGGTACACTTATGAGGTAAATGATTTGCATATAACTGTTACCCTGATTACATGACTTGTCTAAAGATATTACTTGGTGAAGCACATGTGAAGTCATTTGCGATATGAAGTAGGTAGCACTAGTGACCAGAGACTTCAAAAAATCAGAAACAGAAAGCCGAATGAGTTTCCCAGGATCAAGGGCATCGCATAGCATGGTACAAGAAACTTAGACTGGATGTTCGAAGTTGTGTTTGTGGGAGGCTACAAGCATCATAAATAATAGAGCAATGGTAAAGAGCTTAGCCAAGTCTAGAACTACGTGGTTGTCATAGGATCCTACAGAATAGGACGACAGAAAGCAGTAGTAAGCAGTTATAATCTGATATTCGTCAAACTATTGTCTGTTTCACTTGTAGCTGCCATGAATGAGGAGAAATCAAGTCAAATTACTAAATAATCAGATAACTCAGAAGTAATATTGCAAGTACGTGTGGCCAAATGTGGCAGGTGAAGCTACTGCGGAACAGTGTGACTGATCCCGTGGACGAGTCCTTCATTTTGTCAATATGAAAAGGTTTTTTCACTAAGTGAAGAGAGGTTGACAAATAGAAGAACTCATAACTCTCCCGTAGGCGTTATGTTTAACTATGTACGACATCTCTAATTGGCTGGAATCTTCATGACTGATTGTTTGCTGATGTGGGAATGAAAATTCATTGAAGAGAGAAGCAACGTTACTAGATGGCCAGTTGGAGTGGAATGCTTAACTCAGAATTAACTGTAATTTTGTATCTGCAGCCTCCTCAAGGAGCATTGTTCCATGAACATTTGGAACAGGACTCTGCATCAATGGCCATTCCTCTTTGTCAATTTTTATGCTATCTTGGAGGTTAACATAGTGTATTTTGGGCATTGTATCCTCGAATACGGTAAATTCCTTGTCTACGAATGTTAATATCATTACTCCTTGTAGGATGCTGGTAAAATCTTCCGTATGCAAAGCTTGTTTTGGAATTTGGAGGGCTAAATCCTTCTACAGGCGCTCTGTACCGAAGTCTATCTATCAAAGAGAAAACAATGAGGTTGTATGATAACAAAGTCTCAAGGGTCTTGATAATTTAAACTTAGTAAGTTGACAACTAATCAAGAACCCGATGTTAATCAATCACAAAATTAACAAAATTGGTTTATTGTTCACTGAATCCATCGTCAAATCAGGTCAAATCAAGAAAATATGGTTGGCAATTCGTAATTCATTTCGAATTTAATTGTTCCCATGTGATCTAAAGTGCATTATTTTGGTACCATTTTGTAACGTTCAGTCGTGCATGTTATACCTCAATACCTAGTTCATTACATGTGAAGTGAAAACTGAGTATCGCTTTTGATAAGAAAATCATTACTAGAATACAGCATAAATGCTTAACGACATCGTATTTTGCTAATTTTCAACGATTCAATCAGAAGGTCTAAAATAACTCCATTACGATTAAAGGAATATGTGGGAATAACTTTCGAATAGCGTTTTTATTAGTTCACCTATTTAACCAACCCTTTAACGATAGTAAATGATGTTAACAACATACTAAAAGCTGTTAATGAATAAAATCGATTACGTCATGTATCACATTATTAGTAAGTAACGTGTGCTCACAAAAACATGCAGTTGCATATTGAATATACCACTTCCCAAAGACAGAAAAACAAACCAAAGAATAGGACTTCAAACACTTAGACAATTTAACAAGAAATTCATTGTTCAGAGAAGACTTGGAAAACTAAGATTTGGCACACTATTAAAGATTATTGCAGACTATCTAAGATGATGCGGTAATTAAGAAGTTAAGTCAAGTTCATGGACACCTAGAGATAAATCTTGGGATGTAATCTTTTGGACACTTGAATGAAAAGGCAAGTCGACACTGACTCCGGAACATTCTGTAAATATAAAAATGCAACATTACTGAAAACTATAAAACAACTTAACACAAAGAAACCAAAAAGCTCATGTACACATGAAGGTTGCAGGGCAGTAATTTTGACAAGGAAAGATGGGAAGTTGAGTTGAACAAACCTACCAGGCTGTGCAACAAATTACACTGGACAATTCAGAAAGGTTCGTGCATCTGGTTTCTCTCTGTGCTTCATATGCGGCAAAAGCAAAACCCTATGAAGATCCAGAAATTCTAAGACAACTTGGACAAAGGTACCAGATGTGCAGAGAAACAGAGGAAGTAGACTAAATCTCAACTAAACCTACTTCTTCGCGTAAGAGACCTGCATGGCTTGATTGGGTGTGATCTTAAAGTTATGAAGTCCTTGAAGGGCAACAGTTGCTTGCAATTCATCCCCAAACTCAACAAAGGCAATTCCTGGCTTTGCCTCAATCATGCGAACCTCCTTAAAGCCCGGGAACTGTTGGAACAAGACCTGAATAGCCAAGCTAGTAGCCTCATGGGGCAAGTTCTGCACAAAGAGGATGTTGTTTGGCGGAGCAGGTGCCTCAGGAACCACAGGCCTGGGAGGCTGGTACTGCTGTGAAGCCTGATGTGCAGAAAGAGAAACAGAGCGTGATCAGAAGCTGAAAATGTATCGAACGTCAGCTCTGGATATTTGAATATCGAACTAATCAGATACCACAAAACAAAAACAAGAAAAGCAAAAAGAAGAAGGAAGGAGACTGCGTTCAGTTTTAAGTCACTTATTCCAAGAAGGGATCATGCATAAAAAGATTGGCATCACCAAATCTTAGAAAGAGTAAACAAACTCACATGAGGAGGTACACCATAAGGAGGTGGATAAGCAGCAGGAGGTGGTGCCGTTGGTGCCTCTACTTGTTGCTCACGGCGCTTCCTTTCAGCTGTGCCAGACAACACCAGCATAAATAACATTCCACTTAGAAAATTCCTCGTAACCATGGATGCATACGGATACATCGAAAACCATCTACGAGAGAGGTTAACTTTTAATAAAACATACACAATAAATCGGCAGCATGGAAATGAGAGGAGCGTACCCTTTTCTTCTTGTTTCTTCCTCTTTTCTTTAGGCACATACGTTCCATTAGCCTTTGAAATTGCGTCAGAAGTAGTCTTGGCATATTGTATTCTCTGTTTGAAATTTGAATATACACAAACGTGGTGAATGACACAGAAACCTGATCATGATGCAAAGACAAGGATACAGAAAGTTCCATGGAAGTAAGCTGCCACTAAAGCACGCCAACTAACCTCATTATACAAATCAGGTCAACAAAAGCACTCGGGAGGTATCCCTATAAGGCAATCACATTATCGCTTCAAAAAAAAAATGCAAGTGATGAGAGTTTAAACAATAATACAATGGATGCTCAGTGACTTCCACCAAACTGCGAAGTACGCACCATCGGTTTGTCATAGAATGGGAATCCCTGCATTTGCCGCAGGGCACTTGTAGCCGCAGTTACATCATCGAAGACAACCCAAGCTTGGCCCCGCAATTTCAACGTCTTGCAGGCAACAATGTCCATTATTTTGCCAAACTGGGAGAAAACTGCATAAAGTGACTTCTTCAATTCTGCAAAATCTCAAAAATTCACACAGTTAAGAATTAGGAAAACGGAGATGCAGTCGAAATGATCATGCTGCAGCCTGAATATGGTTATCTAGGCTCAACAGGAACTCGGATTCGAAATACCAAGTCTTCGCGAAGTTCGTACCTCCGCTCGAACAAGTGTTGTATCAACCGATTGCTTCTACTGCAATTGATCGAGAAGTAGGGAAAACGGAACCTTGGAACCATAAGCCTTCCGAAAATTTAAAATATTTCATCCTCGAAGTTAGGCATTGCATGATATGCTGAGTAGCTAAAGTGGGTATTGTATTCATGAAAATGTTTTCTCAGAAAGCCCAAAGACTAAGCTATATGTCAACCCTATCAAAATTCTGATCATGGCAGTTTCATTTCATGTACATTCATCTAACAAGCTTGACCTGTCCAACCCTTTTAAGTGATGAGCGACAGCCACAGTTGCCGAGTTTACACCTTTACGGACACTCTATCTTACTCCCAGTATTGAGCAGGTTCTCGAATGACACACTCTTTCTTGACAATAGCTAACAGAAAAGATAAATTTCCGCGCGACGAAGCAATCAGCATCACAATGAAAAACACACATTGGTTCCGAAGATTATCCTACACTTTCGAAGGTGACTCCACAATTTCCGTACACTTGTTGCATACTGTAGATGCCGTAGACGGAAAAACCTTCGACGTTCTCAACGAATGAATAACATAAACACGGAACACGAACACAGAAGAAGAAGAAAAAAAAAAAAAAAAAAAAAACTCGTGACAATAGCCACGAAATGATGAGCCGCATTTCCAAATTGGTGAACAGGCAAAACCCTTGCTCCGTCCAGAAACCCGCACCCGGTGACAGACCGCGAGAACAAGGAAAGCAAGATTAGCCAACACTCCCACTCCTCCTCACTCAATCCATCCAGAAACCAGAAAGACACAGAAAACTTCTCATAGCGAGCAAGAGCAAAAACCACCACCACCGAGCAAAACGATGTCGACGGCGCACCTTCTTTCTTAACTTTCTCATTGAGGTTGTTGATGTAAATAGTCTGATTCGGCGGCGTATCCGCTTGCATCATCTTGAATGCTCCTCCCACTCCTTCCCCCTCAGCGATCGCTAACAGCTCCGATGACAGCCAGCAATTGCGGCAATCGAGTCTCGTCAATGCTCCTACGGGTCCTGCGAGCGAGCCCTCGTCCTCCGTCCTCCTGCGAAGCTTGTCCTCCTCACCTCGTCTAGTTTTCCCGTTCGCAACTACGTTTCTTGCTCCGAAGCTTTGTGGAGACAAAACCCTAAACTTGGCCCCGTCATTGGTGATGAAGGGGGGGGGGGGTCCGGGCTCCTCGGGCTCCCACTTTCTTGTCTTCACAAGCCCTTCACATTCTCCAGACCCGTAATCAATCACGGGATCGAAACTGGTTGTCATCGACACAAGTTGTGCGACGTTGGCTTTCTCTCGACATTTCATTTGTATTTAAACATGATGAGTGTAGTTATTAGGGCATGTATTCTAAAACATACCTTTACGTGTTTGAATTTTTATCATTGTGAGTTGATCAAATTGATAATTATTGTATAAAATTAATGTTTTCAAAATGTTTTTAAATTAGACATTTCACATTCATTTTCTTGTTGGAATTAATAAGTTTTATTTACTTCAAATTTAATTAAATAATTCATTCATTCATTAAAAAAATAATAATAATAAATAAAAATAACCTACACTATAAATCATGTCTTACATTTCCTTTTAAATAATACATACAATAATAAAAAAAAAATTAAAAAAAATTAAATTTTGGTAGACTATGCATGAAAATTAGTATATACATTTCAAAATTGATGCAAAATATTACAAATACATGTACATAAATATTATACACATAAATGATTATAAGCAACAAGATTTTGTTATAGAATAAAACTTATAAGAAAAATATTGCAGAAATTGTATAAAAAAGTCAAATATTTAGTAGAAGAGAATTAGTATATGTAGGAAATTGCATGCTAAAGCTAAAATTTATGATGATTTGGGTTCATGCAAGATTTTTTATACTGATTCTGAAATCATCCAAAATAAATGAACTTTCTTCTTCAAAAAAAATTTAAAAGGACATAAGAAGTTCAAGAAATAAAAATAAAGTATAATATAATATCAAAAAAGTAATTTCAATATATATATATATATATATATAGTAACTTCATTAATCAATTATTTGATAATTTTTTTGTGTGTGTATATAAGTATATATATGTAGATATAATCTAAATTTATAAATAATTATCTAAATTGATTAATGAAATAAAAAACATGAAGGTATATGAATTTATTAAAATGTGACTTGTTAATGGATCTAAAAAAATCTTATTTGCATAACTTTAAAATAAATTTAAAATAAAATAGTTAGTACAAAGTACGAAAAAGTATTGATATGTGTCTTAAATTGTGTCACTAATAGTTGCATCTAAGAGGCTTGTCAGTTTTTTAATAGCTCGCGTTGATCAATCTAAGTCTAATTTAGAGCTAATTTAGTCCATGTGCAGGAGTTAGCATTAGAAATTTTAGGACCTTGTTCGAACCTCATATAGATATCACTGTATAGTGCAAAGTGTTTATTCTCTAGTAAAATCAAATACCAATATGTGTGTTCTATAGTAGACATAGTTTCTACACAACAAAAATGAATCACTTCCATTGCATGTCTTGTCCACTAGATTATATGTACTATTTGTGTACACAATTCTAATTTATTGCAATAAAAAATATATAATTTAAAACAAAGACTAGAGCATAAGCAAGGCATTGAAAAGATTGGAGATAGTCCTTGTGCTATTCATATATGTATATATATATATATATGTATATATATATTATGGATTTTTTTTGTAAATCATATTATATAAAATGAAGCATCAAAATTTTTAAAATGCTTCTATATTGGTGTTATATATTTTAGAATATTTCAATATGAATTTTGATAGTGGCATAATAAAGCTAAAAATACTTGTGTATGCAAGTCATTTTTTAAAGAAATCTTTAATGTTTCTTTAGAAATATCTTAAATAATTAGATTTTTTTATCTACTTCGATTCAATTCAAGTCTATATGCTTTTATTTAATTTTTTTATTTGAAAGATAATTTTTTTGTTACATATGAAATATTTTGAAAAAAATATCAATAGAAAATAGTAGTATTAAAAATTAAAATACTATTATTATAAATTTATATTTATAGTATTTTAATTTTTATTACTTTATTTATAAATAGAATAAGAATTTAATATTTTTATGAAATAAATATCAACTAACTTAATATAATTATATAATATATTTTATCAAAAAAAAATACATGTTTTATTCTAAGATCATAATAATGTCTCCCACTTAGTAAAGATATTACAATGCTTTAAGCCAAAAAGGTGTAGTTAAGACAAATTTAGTAATTTTTAGGCATGAGCATGATTAAATGTTTTTAGATTAGATTTATATTTGTATCTAATGTAGTACATATATTTAATGGAAATATTGATAGATGATTATAATAATAATGATCATGATGTTCATACATTAAATGAAGAAAAATAAAAATAAATCGATATTTATTTTTAAGTAGAAATTATTTAGATGTTAAGAAAATAAAATATTTTTGTGTAAATTTTATGAATAATTATATTAAATATAAATTTATGAGTAATTTTTAATAAATTAAAGACATCTTTAATATATAATACAATAAAAATAAAATATTAGTATTAAAATAAAACTAGATATGAGACAATGAATAAGACAACACTCAGATTAGTCTTAAACTCATACTAGCAAGAAGGTTGTTTTAATTTTTTTTTGTTTTTGGATTGTGCTATAGCATCTTTATCATGAAGAATTTTCTATTGGATGTTATAATACATGCAAAACATCTCAAATGAAACTGGACTAGACTATCTCAAAAATCCAAGATCCTTCTAATCTATAGCAACATAAAGCCTCATCACAAAATAGGACAAAATGGACTAAAACAAAATTGAACGAAATTAATCAGAATAGGACATGAAAGACAAAATTGAGCAAATAGAAACAAAACAAAATAAATCTAAACAAAAAAATACAAAACCAAACATTACTAAAAGAAATGATCCAAAGCCATATTTATACCTTGTCCTACCACCCTAAACTTTCTAAAATGTTCTTAGGTGGTGGATCCCACCTAAATAACCGCCTTAAACTCCTTTTCTAAAAGGTTCCACGGTAGGCCCTATCTAAATGACCGCCCTAAATTCTTTCTAGAATGTTCCATAGTAGGTTCTATCTAGTCCACTAACCTAACTCCAATTCTAGAAACATCCATGGTTCTTACTATCCATACAATTTTATCTATATCCTATTACATCAAAAGTCTCAATAATCTTTTATATCAATATTTAAAAAATTAAAAGGTTGTATATGGTTATAGAAAGTTAGTAAAGCTTCTATAAGACTTCAAAAAATAAATTCTTCACCATTATGTTCAATGCTACTAACTTATAATAATATACTTCAAGCTCAAAGACCATGTCAAAATTTCATATGCCAAAGTTTTTCACATTAAAAGTATATTTGATGCTTTAAAGGTCATGCTTTATTCCAAAGGCATCTATATAATTGTAAAAGATATAATAACTATTATAATTAATATAAATACTATAAAAAGTAAATAAATAAAAGATTTATTAATTTCATTTTTTTTTCAGATTACATAAATATCTTTTATTTTAGCATTATGAAGTTGCAAAGATAAGATTTGACTTATAAAGTACAAAAGTCATGTATTAGACCCACTTTTTATATTCTCTCAAGTCATAACTTTTTTTCTTAATTTGTAAAACTTAATAGATAGCAATGTACAGAGATTTTTTATTAATGCCATTTGCATCATGTTATCATTAATCTTTAATAAATATTTATTTATTTCTTTATTTATATGAATATTAATAACATACTTTACATACCTTCGGATTAGATGATGGCTTGCATGTATTTTTTTCAATGTCATATTTTTTCCAATCTATCATATATTCTAAAATTTGGCATCTAATTTAAAATTTAAATTGATTTTAATTAAATTTTGTGAGAGGTGGTAGAAGATGAAAAATTTCCGAATCTATATTAATTTTTAATAATTTTTTTATAAAATCATTAAAAACTATCGATACTTTATTTTACATAAGAACTAAAGGAAAGTTTTGTTTTAAGTTATATGATGAGAATTTATAAATGGCTCTCATATTTTATGATATAAAAATTTGAATGGATTTAAATTAAAATGAATAATTTTTTGTTGAATTAATATTGGATTTTATTCTGTAAGCGCCATATGAAATGTCAAGAAAAGCCATATTGTTATTTTTAGAAGTTGATAGGAAAACATGAAAGAATGAAATTAATTTGTAATAATAAGTTTTTTTTATTTGAATCAAACTTTGATTGTAGCAATGATCCAAATATAATTTTATAAAATTTTTTACTTCTAAATTTATACCAAAATATTATTTTATCCGTATATTCTTAATTTTTTCTTAAACCTACCTTTCTAATTACCTTGTTTACCTTCATCAATTGATATGTTTGCATTAATTGACTTAGTGAAAAAATGTATAACTTAAACCTTGAATGTATAACTATTATTAATTTTTAATTAAAAATGATTCTAAAGTAATACATATCATTTTATGTTAGAACATCTAAATTTATTTTTCATTAATTGAAATTTTTGACACCGGTAATATAACCATTTGATATGTACCACTTCATTTACATCATTTTTTGGTTTTATTTTCTTTCAAATTGTTATTTTTCACTGGTAAAGGACTGAGTAATGAATTTACTTAGGATACTGTTGTTTGAAATATTAAATAACTAATTTTTTTCATAATTCTAAAAAAAAAATGAAAATTTACTATTATTTTTAAATTTTCAACTATATTAATATTGTATGATTTTTTTTTGAAATCAGTATATATTGAAATATAATATCTTTTATATTTTAAAATACTATTTCTAAACCCTTCTTTGTTGGACTTTTTCTGAGTTTGTCCTCAAATTTTATCTCAAATATTTCAAAGTTGGTAAAAGTTTTAAATATTTTATATGATTAATATGCATCTTAAGCCAATTCAATGTTTGTAATAAATTTTCTAAAAAGAACTATTTTGATGAATTTATTATGATAGCTTAACAGATAAAAAGTATGAATGCGTTTTTAATTATTAAATTATTTAAATGAAGAAAATTTCTTTTAAATTAGTCTTTGGTTCTTTCAATATCAAGTGATAATGTTTTGCAAACGAGATATAAGTGGTTGGTCTGTTTCTTTTGTTTGGCAATCACAGTTTTTCTTGTTATTGTTGTAACTTATTCAAAACTTTTATAAGAAATTCTTTTGGGATATTAAAAAATTAAACAACATAATTTTTTTCTATTATAACTTGTAAATTGTATACATCCACAAAAGAAATTAAAAAATATATTTTAAAATGAAACAAAGATGATTTGGTCTAAGTATAAAATAAATAGTTAGTAACAATTGAAAAGAATGACAATCAACTTATTTTATAATATTCATGTATTATTTTAGAAATAGATAATCAACCTTATTTTAAGAAAGTATTTTAACTATGTTTTAAAGGAGAAGTGGCATACAACATCTATAACAAAATGATATTTTCTAAAAGAAGATTGGCAGTTAGTTTTATTATTATTATTTATTTTAAAATAAAACATGATTGTAAGAAACAACTATTGGCTCAAAGGTAGATGATTTGCAACCACTATGATGCAATTGTCATTAATATATAAATTGTCTTAAATACAATAAGAAATTACATTGGCCTATGCAATGTCTTTACAATATAAATAATTTTTTAAATTTTCAAACAATACAAAGAATAAGGAATAGCAAATTGAGAAATAAAAGATAATCAAATTACAAGATTCGAAACAAAACTAGATTCAAGACCAATACAATGCAATACTTGGATTTTCTACAAAACATATTTAGAAGACTAAAGAATATACTATGTGATTATAGAGTGCTATAGAATAGTTAAGAAGACCATAAAAGGTATTTATATTTTTTAAGAAATTTAACAAAGATTTTCAGGATTTTATTTTTATTAAAAAAAAAAAACATATACAATAAGAAACAAATCTTAATTTTTTTCATTATTAATCTATTTAGGATATATATATATATATATATATATATATACACAATTAAAGAATCTTGTGGCATATTATATCTATTTATATATAAAAATAAGCTATTGTAAATTTTATGATAATAGTCCATATAAAAATTGAGTTTTTTTATATGACTATATTAATTGAAATGATTTTCTAATATTTTTACTATTTATGTGTTTTATTGGTGGTTGCAATTACAACTAAATGTAGATGACACTCAGTGTATTTTAAGTTACAAATTATTGGTTATTTGATCTATAATAAGAATGTTATTACAAAAATATTTTTTTAATGCAATTTTCTAAAATCTTACTATTATTTGAAAAATATCTTCTTGTACTAATAACATGAGTTTTTATGCATACTAGAGAACAAAATTAATGAATAAATTGATGCAAATATAATTAAAAGAAGATAAAGAAAATCTGACTTTATTGCTTGTATTTTATTTGTAAGTAAATAAATTCCGCCTAAGATGTAGATACTTTAATCTTGTCTACACGGATTGTATTGGTCACATAAAAACATAAAAATAATAGTAGCATTAAAATAATAATAATAATAATAATAATGATGTTAGAATTATATTCTCACTGTATAATGTTAGTATTATTTTGTCAATATATATCATCTTAAACAGATTTATTGCAATGTGATAATAAGTTCTTTAGTTATCAAGGATTTCAAAAATTACAGTAATAAGAAGAAACAATATACATTTTATCTCTTGATTTTTGTTCTTTTTTTTGTTTTGTTTTTGTTTTTTTGCATTCATGCCACATTTATTGTTAAGATAATGTCATCAGTCTAATCAAGAAAAATGTTTTTACAGCTCGATGCTAATCTCTCAATGTTACCATTTCCGAATCACCAATATTAAAAAATAAAATAATATGAAATAAAGCAATCGATCACTTATTCTATTATCAGATCTATAAAACGCTGTGCACACATTGAATTTTCACTATACGACATAAAAGTCCAAGCAAACCAAAACGTAATCAGCAAGTGTTTCCACCGATTACAAAGCTATTGACCAAACCAACTGATTCATGTTCCAAAACACGCATGTCGATAAGTGCACCTGACATTTTCCGACTCATGCAGCAAGTGGTGTTCACAATAGCAATGAAATTATATGGTCCTGGCAGAGGAAGAGAACAGTAAACATAGTCATAAAATCAAACAAGTAGGACACAAAAACAGTAAAGCAGGGCTTGAAAGCACTGCAATGATTTTTAGAAACTGTAGGAGCCGAAGTGGGTGCACGTTTTTGCGCCGGGGTTCGTGGTTTTTGTCATTCGTCGAGGCTGGTGGACGGGAAAGTAGAGCTCGGCGGGCTGCACCCACCATTACCACAATTTGGATCCACCATCGCTGGGCAGGATACGGTAAAACTCATACTTCCTCAGATGCTCATGGTCCTTTCTCGGAGTGTGTCTAGATGTTCAGCGCATCCCTAACTTTCGCTGCAGATTCTAGATTCCACGCGATGATCCGGATTGCCGGAGTCTTACAGTCTCAGGTCCTCTCCGACCACTCACTCTGCTAGAAAACTTGGGAGCTTGCGACGAAGCCGATGTGTAAGATGCTAGTGGTTTGTTGCACGCACGGTCGGAGCTGCCGCGAGCTGCCCGAGATCACCCAGGACTATTCGACTAAAGTAAGGTGAAGTGCTTCGCCGTTAAGAGAGCTGTGCGAGTCGCGTGCAGTGGAGTAAAGAGCCCGTTTTTGTGTCTGCAAAGAATATATCCGGAAAATGTTTGTCGGCAGTGATGTAGGATGGTCAAGTCCCGGTCGAGGAAAGCTGGAAACGCAAAGAGATGTAGGTAAAGTTTTGCAAGCGCACTGCCGTGTCGTTTGTGAGGGGGGCGTGCTTCTTTTAGCACAGTTAGCCCCATCTACTGGCACCCCAGTGGGACATGTTCGCCGCGTGTGGCAGCGGCGGTAGAATTCACTAGGTCCAGATTTCTCTTCCTTACTGGATCGATAACCGTGGTGTGGATCCAAACTCGCAAGGAGAACTTTTGCTAAAACCTGCTACCGAGTCCCTCCTGTTGGTGTGTCTGCTCATATGACCCGTGGCCATCGTGTTGGTCGAAAACGCGGATCCTCTTGGGACCAGCTCCTATAGCGACGTTTCGCTACCTTAGGACCCAGTAATTAGTCTTCCATATAACTTAAGATTTTGGATCACGGATGTGCAAGCTGCCCGCAAAGGTTTCTGGTCTTTTGATTCGTGGATGTTTTGAGGTGAGACGAGGCGATGCGATTCATTACTATTATGAATATGGGTTGTAGAGAGCGTGCGATGTGCAGTACCGGCACATCATCTAGGCGGGATGTGGAGACTGTTGTCAACTTAAGTTCTTATAAACTGTGGATAAATTTTTGGTTGGTGAATATGCTCATAAAACCAGCTCTAGAAATTTCCAGGGTTGTACTGTTCCACTCCGTTTCTCATAAATCTCCTGATAGAATTTCAGCATACCAGCTTTTCCCCTTTAGGACAATTGTGCCGTGCGAGTTCCTTGGCTGCGAGTTCCTCTTTAGTGAGAGTTCCAGTGATGTTTACAGAGAAAGAATTGACCGTTCCGTTTACCAGTCAAGTAATTGCTGCACTGACCATAGAACATATTTTAATCATTTGCAGAGTTGCTCTATTCAGGGAGAAGTATGCCGCGGCGCTGCAATTAGAAATTTTGTTTCTGTTCAAATGAATTGGTGGCGTTATCACTCGAATCTCATGCTTTTGGACAGTTTTGGGGTCGGTATTTTCAAATAGTCCTGTTATAACTCAGGAATTCGTGCTTCATTTTGTTGAGCAGGCAGCATTGAGCGAGTATGGAAGAATTCGCAGAAGCTTATTCTGTGCGGCTCTTAGCGCACACGGGCAGATATCTGTGGGCGGACCCCGATCTCAAGAGTGTCTCTCAAAAGAAGGGCAAGGATACTAAAGGGGTGATTTGGCGCGTTGAGCTTGTTCCAGAACGCGGTGCTATTCGGCTCAAAAGTGTACACGATCTTTACTTGCATGCTTCTGATTATGCATTTCTGTTGGGAGCGACGGGGAAGAAGGTTACGCAGAGTTATGCATCCAAAGCCGATTCGTCGCTTGAATGGGTGCCTGAAAAGTACACACCTTATGTGAAGCTTAAAGCTAGGAGCAATAAGTATCTTCGAGCCAACAGGGGAGTGCCTCCGTATAGAAACTCTGTGACGCATGATTTGCCAGTGCTCCAGGGCAACCAACATGTAGTGCTCTGGACGGTCGAAGTCGTGAGGACAAAGGATGCGCCATCTTTGCAGCCCAGTAGGTTGCTTACACCAAGACATGTACGAGTTTTCTTCCTCTTGTGCTTGTATCTTTCAAATTTGTATGGTATTTTTCTGTGTAAGAATGCTTCCAGACCATCCTTCGCGTTTTCAAAGTCAGTTTCACTCTATCTAGTCTTGTGCAGTCTGACGCGACATCGTCTAAGTCATCATCACAGCATAATCAAAAAGAGGATAGTTCCGACGATGAGGCCCCGCACTTCACGCCTGCTCGTGGCTCCACGTCACGCCATAAATTAAAACCCACGGAAATTCCCCCTTCGGCTGAGCCCAGTTCATCTTCGGAGTCATTATCGCCTGTTTCAATAAGACGGACTCGAGCAGTTCGTGTAGATGCTGATAGTTCTCCGCCACCAAGATGGAATCCACCAGTTCGTGAAGATGGTAGTCCTCTTCCGCCACGAAGACGGACTCCACCAGCTCGTCAAGACGACAGTCCTCCTCTGCCACACATTCGTACTCCACTAGCTCGTGAAGATGGTGACAGTCCTCGGCCACGTAGCCCCAATCCACGATTTCTTGAAGCTAACAATAGTCCCCCCCCTCACATGAAGATACCATCTACTGACGACTCCGACAGCCCTTCACCACGCATACGTCCACCAACGACTTTGGAATCTAGCAGAAACCCCCCGCGACGTGAATCTTCAGAGTCATCTGTACGTCGGTCTAGATTCAAACCGCCTGACAACGACGAAGAGAACGAAAGCAGCAGCAGGGGAAGAGCATCTTTCAAGACTGCGGAACCGAAATCTGCAAATGCCCGGAGAATCAACTATGAGGTTGCGGAAGACGATGGCGAAGTACTGGCTCTTGAGGACGGCACTTTTGGCACCTTCATGTTTGAAGGAAGTACTGTAGATGAATTGATTGAGGAATTGCGGCGCAAGACGAAAATTGACGACATCATTCTGTGCATGCGGAATAATCAAAAAGGCACCCTCTTCAAAATGCGCCTTGCTCTGCCTTCGAACAAAGCTCCTCTGCCCGTTGTCGTCGTCCGGCAGAACTCCTCATGTACGTTCCTATCTCTTCATCTTCTTCAGTTTATAAAGGTTGCAGGTTTAGGGACTCAACAGATTCACATTCGTAACTTTGTTTGCTGTTGAGAGTTTCACTTCTGTCATGGCGGAGACCCACTTGGACAAATCACTTATCTCGTGTTTCGTATTGATGTGATTGCAGTTGGGAGGAAATTGTCAACACGTTAGATATGACCTCGTCTAGATAACAGTATTTCGTTGGGATGCATATGAGTATCGCAATCGACTTCATTCTTCTTAAGTTGAGCACTTAGCAATCCTATTTAGGCTTAGTCTAGACTTCACATCTATGTTGGAGAGTCCTTGTAAATTGTTGTAGTTACGCAAGTGATTGCAAGCCGTAAAGCATAACAACACCGTGATCACAGTGCCCAGGAATACAGTTGCTTACTCTGCCTTCAACTGCTTTTCATTAGGATTAACAATCTGGAGATAGAACTCAGTTATTGCTAGTGGGAAGGTAGAAACCTAACGTTGGGCAAATGCTAATGAGCACGATCAAGTGAATTGTTGCAGGCTTTGTCTGGAGTTGGAAGTGGATGAGTCGTCTTTGAGTTCCAAGTGAAGGGGCTGTAAGAAGATTGTTTCCCTTGATGTAATATAAAACTGATGTAATTTTTGCCAGTTTTTCAGCCTGGTTTTTTTGGTCTTATGATGTGTGTACACCAAGGTTTAGGGTCTGCTTGACTTGGCTTACAAGGTATCATGGGTGGTTCTGTAACGTCGACAGCAAAGTTATGCTGGTAATCTTACTTTTGATGCAGTTCACTGTCTTAATCCATTACATGACATGATTGAGCATTGTTTCATTTGGCCGTTAACTCAAGATTGTAGTTCCTACTTCCACAAAAACTACTATAACTACTAAGTTCAATATCTTTTGTGAGTTATTCTCGGGGCTTGAATGAACCAGATGAAATAAAGTTTGAAAAAACAATACATAGTTGTTTCAGAGTATTTTTTTAAGTTTTTAATTTTAATTTTGTTAATATTAGGGATGAGAATATTTCGTATAATTTAATCAGTTACTGAAAAATTAAAAATTGAAAATTCACATTTATCACTATAGTTTTTATTTATTAATCATCAAATTAATGTTATAAAAAGCTTCAAATCGGAGAACGGGTTGACAAGAAATACTCTTTTAAAAAATACAGATGACCCAGTTCCTTTTCAATTTAACGGACCTCTAGTTTTGTCCTCCTGACATTGTGTAGTTTTTAGAATATTAATAATCCAACCACTCAGTGGACCAACCATTCTACAACACAATTTCAACATGAAACACCTTTAAAACAGAAGTCCAAAGAATTTTCTTAAAATCAACTTCCACCTTTTTAAAAAACTCTATTAAAAATTTGATTACGAAGGATTCTCTTCTTCACGACAAATATTATGAAATGTTTCAGAGTCTGGTTTCCAACCCATTTTCCCCTTTCCTGCCTGGAAATCAGATCCGAAGGAATGGTTGAATGCCGACACCGGAACGGAGAATGGTTCTGACACTTGAACGCAGTACTTGACGTTCAATAGAGTTGGTGACTAAAACTCAGTCAGTAGCTGAGCTCTGAAATGGCACAAGTACTTCATATTGTGCTAGTACTCCTCTACTAGGTAGGAATTTGTGATACACACTCGTGGTTGGGTTCTGGGCTTTAGAGATGGTAAAGGGAAACTCAGAAAGGAATGTGAGCATTTCAGGAGCTGTCAAGGTTGCCAAGCACTGCATTAAAGTCCAATCAAACAGTCACCTGCACGAACCCTGTTGTCAGTGTTGAGGCCATAGTAGAGACCGATGAGACTCCAGTAAACTGACATGCTTTGGATTGGTCTATGTTTGAACCCAAGTCTCTCTAGCATTGTCGATGCCATTGGTTAGAAATTGCATCATCAAAATAGTGCTTCCGGACGAGGTCAAGTAAAGTTTGCAGTATTTCATCCTGCATAAATCCTTTTCATTTGAAAGGTGATGAAACGAAGGCGATTCGCTTCAGTACCTGAAAGTGTACTGCGTAGTCGAGAATCGTCTAAAAAGGAAGCATGTATCATCGACAACGCCTTGTGTTGAGGCTGCTCAGTGGGATGTTTCTGTGGTGAATGTCTGCATGGGCGATCTGCATGATGTATTGTGCTGGCACAGTGAACCTTGTTGCAGAGTAAGGAGAAATTTGAAGGTGTGGCAGCAGATTTTCTTCAACTACATGATGCTAACATCCACACCCTTCAAAGACTAAAGGCATGACGGGCCCTAAATTTAGCAGGGTTCCGCGAAAAAACGATGGAAGACACCTACCTTTTTTTCTTCATACAATCGCTCTACATAAGTTATATTTTCATTTTAAACAGTTTACAGACAATATTGTGCTGTGTCAGGTTTTTCATGGCTGCATAGATTACAGTTGCAGCGGTTAGACTCCTGTCTACTTCCTCCATTGACGCACTCCGGAAACAGCTACACATGGGGGCCTCAACGCAGGAACAACTGGCGATTTGTGGTATCGGCATTACCACGTTGTTGCGCATTGACTGTGCTAGAGCTGAGGTGGCAGCTGATTCACGGCGGAGGTAGCTATTTGTGGTTGTGACTGGACAATCTGCCAAACCCCGTCCCAGCCAGATGGCCACATTGTGCGGCGACACAGACACAGACACGTCTCCCTCCAGCTTTCCTATGAGTACCCATCCGTTATTTGACAACTGGGCACCGTTCTTGACAGATCTTTGAGCTACGCTACTCCACCGACGTCCTCCTCCTTCGCTGAAAGGAAACTCGCCGAATCTGCACTATTTCTTAAAATTCATGTCTAGTGTGGATTTTCATCTGTTTATGCCTCAAACCAAGCTCCACGTCTTCAATGCTGGCCGTCAGTTTGGGCTTCGTCGATGAACCTTCACCTAATATCAGCTCAACGATTGAGCTCCACTCCAGACCTTTGTATACATAGTAATGCCTACATGTTCATTTCACATCTCTGAAGCGCTCTAGATCGTGTCAACGCGGTTCAACTCTTGCTGGTAATTGTTCAAGTGACGCCGTGATGCCGTGATGCCGTTTACTTGGTTTTTGGGTGTAGAAGCGGAATAGTTTTTGCCCATATCAACATTTGCCAGCCAGTTTTTCATGTCTGTGTTGCAGCATTTGGGATACCCATTGACTTCTATGTTAGTAACGTGATTTGGCGTTGGTAAGCAGGCAAGAAGCTGCCGTCTGTATTGGAAGCGAGAGGATCTGCTGGTGAAGACCCGTCCGACATGGCAACGCCGTATGGTACGAAGACTGGTTATCCAGCTACTAACCCAGAGCCTTACGATGAGGCTCCTCGACGAGCTCACCGGAAACTCCACTGTCTGGATTTCATTCTGCGTGTGCTGACTGCCATGGCAACAGCTGCAGCCATCGTTACCCTCTTGTTTTCGGTTCAGACTGTCAGGGGTGTGAGAGTTAGATGGATCGACTTCGGTGCGTTCAAGTAAGATATTTCGACACAAAGCTCATCAAGCTACACTCAATTGAATTGGGTTTCACATTGACAAGATGTTTTGTACCCAATGGGAAACTTCTTTAATTTGTGTGGTGGGCGCCCGCTTTTTCATAGAAACGAACTTTCGTAGATTGTAACACGGGCTGTGTTGTATGCAGATATCTGATGGTCGCGAATGCCGTTGTATGCGCGTATACAATCCTGGCTGCTCTTGCCTCGTTGATTGGAGTATGCACCCGAAGAGGCCCTTTGAGCTCCACTCCCATCGCGTGGCTGACCTTCCTGGTCGACTTAGTACGTCCCATCACCCCCACAAATAAACGTTGCTAGCTCTTCAGTGAGGATTAAGCATATTCTATTGACTATTGCATCGATGCGAAATGGTCTACATTCTGCGACAACCCCAAAAAATCATGCACTGTCTTACTCTTTCGCAATCTTACACTGGTTCTTAATTTATAATGCTAATCATTGAGCCATCTCGTGGGAATCCAGCTTTTGGCGAACGCGCTGATGGCAGCGGCGGCTGCTTCCACAGCCCTATCATGGATTGGCAACCGAGGTGAATCTGCCGCGCGCTGGGCCCCAAATTGCGGTGCGTTCCACAGGTTTTGCACGAGAATCGGTGGGTCGCTCATCGCCACCTACATAGCGTGGATTTTCCTGATCCTTTCCACCATCTTGGCTGCCATCGCTCTTCACAAACTTCGACGAAGGGTGGCGTATTGAGAGAATCACACCACCAGGAGAATCAACCACCAACGCTATGTACCCAATTGATCGGTTCAGACCTGGATTGTTGTCGGCCGAAGAGATACACTCATCCCCTAGTTCTATAATTCACATATTCTATGTTACAGTTAGCCATTGGGTCGAATTTAGATCTCGATAACCTGTACAAAGTCACGTGGTTTGTTTGTTACGAATACATGGCTGCTGTGCTCACATTATCAAATCGTCTGTGCCGACAGCTTAGAGACATGTAATTACGGCAACTGTTGCACAACGATCTTGTCTTCAATTTCACTGTAATCAATCAATATTATGCACTTCCTGCTTCTTCTTGCACTTCTTGCAATAGCCTCTCTACCTGGTCTCAAAACTTCTACGGCGAGCTGTTGCTCTGTCGAATGGTGTGTGGAAGTAAAACATTTGCATTCCAAATTTGACATTCCTTTGTGTTTTGAAGCAATCGGGATTTTGGATCTCCACCTTTCAGCATGTTGTAACCATAAGTTATATATATATAGATGTAAATAAGTGACAAAAATGAAATGTTGATTTGAAATGTGTATTATATAACTTAAGTATGCTTAATGAGTAGATGATTATTCAAACAAGTAATGATCATAAAATCTTTAGGTTTTCCACCATAAGTAGCTTAAATAAAAGATCATAATTCAATTTTAATTCCATAAAATATAACTTCATTTCAAGTTAAACAAGTCAACCTCTTCATTGCATTCCTATATTTTTATTTTTTTTTATTTTTTAATTTTTCAACATTATTAGTGACATAGTAAACCAGACAATCACTTTTATGTATCATGTTGTTTTAAAATAATTGTTTAAGTTATATTTTTCTGACATCTTGTACATACCATATAGGTCTATCAAAGTTTTGGTTCTAAGTAGATAAACCATAAATTTTGTTATGGTATTCAACAAAATAGAACTTTAATCCATAACATAAAATTTTACTCAAAAGAACACTATTAATATTTTGTTTTTATTTTTTTATCATCTTAATTATAATATTTGATAAATATATATATATATATATATATATATAAGGAGTTGTTAAAGCCACAATGGATAGGAACAAGGGACGGGAACAAGGGACAGGAATAGGAAACAAGAGACAAGGATAGAGAACAAAAGCATAGAGATTGGAAATGGGGAATAAGGGACATGAAACAAAAATAGTGACAAGAATGGATGAAATTGATCATGAGATGATAATGTGGCTTTAACAACTCTATATGTATGACATATCAAATAGAGAAATATTTTTAGATATTCATACAAAATAAATAAATAAATAATTCTTTAAAAGATAAATAATAAATAACTAAACATCAAAGTATATAGATTTTTATTTTTAAAAATTTAAATTTTTATTTCATTATATTACCTTTATTTTAAAAAATAAAGCATTAGATATATTTTATTTTGGATATAAAAATATTGTGAAATAAAAAGATCTTTATATCTAGTAGCTTACTTTAAAAGTTTGTGGTCAATAAGCCTTACAAAGTTCTTTTGTTCAATAAAGAAAGATTGCCTATTGCAAACATCATCTTTTAAAGACAATATAAAAGAGTAGAGGCTATGTAATAGAACATATTAAAAATAATTTCAATTGTCAATATAAAAACTTACATCCTAATTCTAACAACTATAAATAATATATAATTATAAAATCTATTTTAGTAAGCATTTTTAAAATTTTTGATATAGCTTTTTAAATATTTGTAAAAGCCACCTTTAAAAAATGTACCCAATGTAAAGTCTAATAGAATATAGTATTCACGATGCAAAAAAAAAAAAAAAAAAAAAAAAAAAAATCATGTCAATTAAAAGAAAAGTCTTGATTTTAACCAATAACAAGCTTATATTAGATGATTTATTTCTAATTATATAAATACCACTAAAATTGATACTATCAAGATTATCAATTTTAAATGCCGACTAATGAAGCATGCATCAGCAACACTATATTTTATAGATCACAATCCGTTCTTAAATAATTTTGTCGCTATCAGCAAAAGCGCAAGTACAAGCAGGTCTGCCCATACCGTCGCAAATAAGACTGAGAGCTTCGCTGATCAATGCCTATCAAAGAAATAAACACATATGAAGAATTGCCAAAGAAACAATGCGTTTCGTGTTCAGGACCATTAAATCGAGCTGACAGTCACATAAGTTTTTTGTCTTGTCATCTCAAACGAGACTTAAGACATTCTAAACACCCTGGAATTCAAAATGAGAATATAATAGAATGTGCGCAGATGGAGCAAACAATACTTCAGTAAGTTAATACCAGCGTTTTGGAAAGATAGATCGGGGTATTGCAAAGAGCTCCATATTCTACTGAATAAATTCACCTGACATGACGACCATCATCAAAAGCATCCATTCCTGAAACCTACACTGCTTCTAGAGTATCCTCGATTTGACAAACCGTAGAAATCAAGTAACGCAGTGAATACAAAAACAACTGAACGGGATTCATCAAAAGATCCAGACAAGCAGTAGAAATACATTGCTCAATGATGCTTCAATAAACAACTTACAGGACAAGATAAATCATCACGTAGGATGCTACACGCTTCAATCCAACCTCATACGGAAAATGTCACTCCTGACTCGAATGCACCACTCGCAACCTCCACTAAAAGAAAGCAGAAACCTAATTTGCACGGCGGTTCTCACATCGTCACAAGCGTCGAGTCAACGGCACCTTTATCGACAGCTTCCACAATAATCATCCCTCACCACTCTAATCCCACACCGACACCCGTGAACCTTTCCTCATCTTTGTAGTCTCACCAGGACCCGAACGACAGCCGCATTGTAACACTCGGAAGGCGTCGCGACAGAAAACCGCACAACATCCATTGTACAACAAGTAAAATTAATTCGGCAGAAAACCGATGCAAGGTTCTGCCATCCCCCTCGCCCTTACAGCAGCTTCGAAAACGAGAGCGCTGCCATAGCTACAGGTGAGAGAGCTCAGAAAATTGTGCAAGTAAACTAAGTATAATGCTGGCATCACTGCTTTAAAATTGTTGCCAGCTCGGATTTTTATATAGTATCCACAACAACGACGTGGCACTTGACGTGGACATTCTGCTGAGATTGATGTACTTTTTGAGGAATCTACAAACATGTTAAGATTGTTTAAGATTTCATAGCTATTATTAGTCGCAATCCAGAGCCACAAGTAACCTTATTTCTGAAGCTCACCAACTCGATCGATCTAGCCATGTGCTCATCTTCGATAACCTCGGCAGATTCTGGGGTTCAGTAGCGAGGGCTATGGCGTTTACAATCAGTTCGTGGAATTGATGATGAACTGACGGTGTTGCGTTTGTAATTAGTGTGCTGACTGCTTTTTCAGAGGCTGATTCTTCAGGTCAATCTCTGTAGTTCGGTAGTTTTTCTTCTTCCTCCTGTTATGTTCTGATTCATCTTTGCAAGCTGCACTTTAGTAGGTTTGTCTGGCTTTCAGATTCTTCGATTCGTACCTCTCGTTCTTGCGAGAATTTGGAGTAAGCAGAGTATTGCATGGTGTCGAAGTTTCCCAAGGATGATTGGAGGGGTGGGAGGTATTCTGCGATCTCCGTTTGGGAGCGGGTGATTGGATTGAGTTAGGGTTGATTGAAATGTGGGGAAATCAACTTGAACTTTGAAATTTTTCTTTTAGGATCAAATCCGGCTTGTCCACTGAGCCATGGTCTTTTTATTGTGGCCGTTCTCTGTTCTGATTGAGAATCGTGCTCATATTCTCTTTCACGCAATGTGATGTTTTTTCTTTCTCTCTGCATATTCTCGGGGATTGAAATACTGTGCGCTTGAGATGATGTTTGATCGCACATCTTTTGTATTGTGTTGGAAGCCGTAATTACAAATTGGAATTAATTGCACGTCGTGTAAGGGTGCATTATTGTTTGATTTATGTTTGATACATTCCATAGGAACTGGCCTTTCCAATGGTTGAACAGCAGAGATTTGCTGGCATCGCTCTTTATCTCGGCCTAGACAAATGTGAACCTTGTTTTCGAGAGGTGTGGGCTGAGCTTTGCCGACCTCTTCCACTGAGTTCTCTAAATGTTGGGGTCTCAAATGTCCGGTAGCGACTCTTCGTGTCTTTTGTTGGTTGTGAAGTGTTTTTTCGAGGTTTTGTTTGTGCTGCTGTAATCAAGTACAATGAGGCGGGGGATTTGTGTTCCACCTGATGCAGACAGAAGACAGTCCACGTCACAAAGGCGGTGAAAGAAATTCTAGGGGAGAGAAGAGGAGGGAGACGATGGTGGAGAGAAGAGAAGCGAGCAACGCCTTTCTTCGCACCCCATTTCTGGAGAATTACGTAGAGAGGACTCTAAGCTCGGGTTCAAACGATTCACAATATGACGATGTGGTTGTGGCAGTTCCGGATGAATTCCAGCATGTTTATGAGAGATCAGCATCTGGACAGAGCGCCACAGGAAGCTTGTCTCAGTGGAGAGCTCAAGACGAGCAATTGGAATCGAAATTGGACACTCCAGATCTTGCAACCCAGAGCAGGAACACGTTTCAGCAAATTCATGAATTAAGTAGGTCCCGCTCCAGCGACAGATCAAGAGGACGACCTTATCACTCAGGACACTCTATCCGGAATCCCATAGAAAAGAAGTCGCTTGTGAGAAGAGCGGCTTACAGTGCCAAGACCGACACATGGAATTTCTTGTATAATGCGATGATTGGGCTGTACATGTGGCCGAAATGGAGCTGGGACGCCATGAAAGACAATTCCAAACTTACGATTCTATCCGTCAAACAAGGTTCGTATTTTCTTGTTGTGAAACGCAAACTCTTTATTAACCCACCATCGTCCGGTTTGGAGTCCGATCACCTTGCCCTTTTCAGCCTCGATTCTTTCACATCCGAAATTTATTAATCAGCTTATAGTTTTTTAGGCAGACATGAATCTAAATGTAGGGCTGTTTGAAACCTCACATCATAAATTGTGACGATCCTTACTGTGCCTTCATACTCGATTTCTCACCGAAAGAGATTCCATATGGACTCACGCAGTAATGTTGTGGTTTGCAGGAGTCTGTTCCGGTTTGGCTTCAATACTTTGTGTTGTCCATTTTCCGCAGCCCTTCACACAGATTTCGGCAATCGCGTTGTGGGCCGTTGTCACTACTGACCTTCTGTATGAGGGAAACATTGGGCTCTCTATTAGCAAAGGCTTCAATCGTGTTCTTGGAACTTTAGCTGCTGGTTTCCTAGGGTTCGGCCTCATTCAAATCGGGCCAGAGCTTGGATCATTATATCCTTATTTTGTGGTAAACGAAAACCTCACTTCTCCATGATTTGATTAAGACTTTCTTTGGTGTTTGACAATGTCATGTACGTTACAATGTATTGAGTGACAATTTCTATCGATGAAGGTGCATTAGTCAACCAGGAAGGTGCTTAAGTGACTGAGTTGGACCATTCTTTAGTAGTCTAATTGAAGTCTCCGTTGTGCAGGTCTTCTGTGTAATGGCTGGAAGTGCAATCTGTAGATTTCTGAAAGGAATACCCCCGTTGAAAGACCAATGGGGTTATGCTTTCACTGTAGCAACTATTGCATTTCATATCTTTATAATTACGGCGTACTTGGATCCTGAAAGGTGGACATTGCCGATGCTTCGATTCTCCATGATCTTGTTGGGGTTTGCTATGTCATCGATTGTCAATATAGCTATTCAGCCTATCTATGCTGGAGATGCGCTGCACAGGCTTGTGGCGAAAAACTTCGATACAGCTGCCATTGTCTTTGAGAGGTATGAGTTCTAATTAATATATGCTATTTGGAGTAATATCTCACATTTTCTATGTAGATTATTCCTTTAGCTGTACTGAAGTCATAGTGGATTTCTGTTGTTTTTCATTCATGAAAAAAAAAAAAAAAAAAAAAAAAAAAACAGTTTGCAAACGAATCAAGTTGTATGCGGCCTGAAATATTTCCTGGTCCGCAGGTTCTAAGAGTGTTGCACCATATTTACAGATGTGTTGAGGAGTATAACAAAGACACGAAGTTGGATCATGTTCCGGACATCCTGAGTGGGCGCTCCGTAGATGACAAAATTCACCAAAGTTATCATGAAATAGTCATGTCAGATTCAGACATTGACAAATTGGTGAGTCCAATTCGATTTCCAGCCGCTATCTGATACATGTGAGACTGTTGCTGGTATTATATTTTCGAAGTCAAGGTAACAATTTATGGAAATCTTGCAGACTTTATAGAACTCCTCTGCAAGATTTATAATAGCCTCTATTAGAAACTGATACCTCTTGTGACATTGCATTAGTTGAGTGCAGTGCATTGGGAGCCATCGCACGGGAAATTTTTCATGGGTTATCCTTGGCACATGTACGACGACATTACAGACTACCTCCGTTACACTTTGTATGATGTCATAGCTCTTGATTTGTGTCTTCGGGCAAATATTCAAGCACCCAAGGAACTCAGAGAACTCTTTGCTGAGGTTTTATCTTCTAACATTTCTTTCATCTTCTTATCATTTCATGTATTCTCCTTGTTGATGTCCTGATTTCCTCATCGGTTAGCATATAGTTTGAATGTTAGGCTTTTGGGATTTATGCACAGTTTTGTTTAAGACAAAACTTCTTGTACAGGAGATGGCGACAATTGCGACAGAGTGTGCAACCGTACTTCGCATGTTAGGGGACAGTATCAAAAATATGAAAAAGTTTTCATCAGAAGACATTATGAAACGAGCCGAGGAAGCAGCTGTTGCACTCCAGTTCAAAATATATAAAAACACACATAAACTTCTGGGCAGTATAGAATCTGATTCACACGTCTGTCCTGTCCAGTGGTCAGCGTCGAATCCTTCAGCAAGCAAAGACATCGGATCTGGAAACAGCTCAGAGACAAATTGCAACCCTAACTATAGTCGCAACCAAAACACAGAAGAAAACATTTTCACAACTGATTCGTCAAAAGGTACCAGCCCGGCAATCAATATACCAGCCCCTGAAGGTAATCGATATACTCATGTGGGTTTTGAACATAAGGAAAATATGTCGAAGGTTGGCTCACCAGGAAGGTTGCCTGCTCTTGGCTCACCACAAAAGAGTAGCATGCGGACAAGATCTGGAACATTGAAGAAAACCACATTAGAGACTCTGTCTGAGGGCGTCCCTGCTATCAATGTCTCGATTCCTAATAGCGGGTCACCTGGAATTGCAACAAGCCCTGACCAACCATTTCAAGAACAAGACGAAGTAACCACTCCCGGTAGAGGTGGCACCAAGCGTTCAACCGTTGCATGGCAACAGACATTTTCACATAGGAAGTCCAGCTTAGGACCATACCTTGATGGCACACTGGAGAGAATATCGGCTCTGTCCTTGGTCAAGTTTGCCTCTCTGCTGATTGAGGTTGTTTCTAAGATGAGGTACGTTGTTGATTGTGTTGAAGACCTGGGCGAACAGGCTAGATTTGAAAACTGTGGTCAAGCTGAGAACAAAAGTTCGGCCCAGCACATGGGATAAACCCATTATGTTTATTCAAATGCCACAATATATGTACACGCATACACGGTAGGTAGGTTGTTTATTTGTAAGCGAACATTCACAGTTCCCACAAGATCGCGATTAGTGTTGTGGGACTTCTTGGTGACGATCTGAACATGCGATATACAACTTTTGGCAATACTGTTGGGCACACCTTGCTGCTAAGTATTGCTTTGTGTTGATCTGTTAAACTTGTAATACGTATGTAGTGTTGAAAACTTTTTGACAACAACCCAGTAGGTCTTCATTTCATTCTTAATGCAAAGGGTGTACATTTACAATTTCACTTTGGGATATTGCCTTGGTAATACAAGTTGAAGCCAAATTGCCTTTTTATATTTAAGCAGGAAGATGAGCACACCCCTTCTAAATAGTGTTGCTAACATATACACTATAAAAAATTACATATTTCAATCTACAGTTTTAATTTTAATTTTAAAAGTGATACAACTGCATCCAAATGGTATGTAAATACAAGGTTCATACATGCTAAAAAATATGACAGTGTTTTATCGCCATTATATACACAACTATCCTAAAATGTAACTTCTGATTCCTTAAAATAGAAAATAAATAGTGGAGATAAATAATGTTAAAATGAAAATTTTATAACACATTACATTTAAAAAACTTATATTGCAAATTATAGTATTCATTGATAAAGCATAAACATGGTAAGTACTGTAAAACAAAGTGACTAAGTTTAATATGAAAACATTAATAATAATTTCATAAAAGTTACTTTCAAATAAAATAATAATGTATATTGATATTGCTTTGTATATAAAAATGCTAAATATAAAAGAAATTCACAACCAAAAAAATATTATGAACATTTATTATGTAATGTATACATTTACTAAGGATCATCTTAACTTTCATTTTCATATTTCAAATTAGATTATATATATATATATATATATATATATATATATATATATTGTTTGTTTGTTAGTTTTAGTTTTTGTTTTTCTGTGATTATACTGCAAACGTTAAAATTTTCAACAACAATAATAGTGAATGCAGTTATGAAAAAAATTTGGAAAAAAATTTTTGGCAATTAGTATCTTGTTGTTCAGCACATGTGTTTTTTTTTATAAAACCTTAATCATCTTGCTTATAAAATAATGACAAAGTATATGAAACAATATGAAAGAAAAGGATGGAAGAGATTTTTTTTGAAGATAAAATAAGTTTTTAATTGGAGATAACTCGTTCAAAAACACGATGATTTACATTGGATAACAACCTATTGCAACATTTTCTTAGTAAATCATAAATCAATATAATTAGCACGTGTTTAGTGAAAGCAGTATGTGCATTCGTTTCACAAGCATAATATTAAGACTGTCATGCTACATGCAATATCATGTGTATGTATTTTATAAATTTGTTTCGGTTACAAAAAAGACAAAAGTAAGTCATTCTAAACTTAAGCATGTTAAATTCAAAGGTGTTACTCCATTAAACAACAGGGAAAGATGGGGGCACGTCTAAAATACAAGTATATTGATAAAACTAGATATTTTCAATACTGTAAACTTTTTACAACCAAATCAAGTCAATATATACAACATAATTAAACTCATACAATCAAAGTTTCAAACACATTCTATTCGGATAGAAAATTTGTGATTTTTATTTTATTTTATTGTACAGCCTCTTTGTTTTTATTATTAGGCATGTGTATTTACCGAAAAATGCAATAATAAAGGTACATGTTTTTGAATTTGTATGACTTTTGAAAATTCACTCGTCTGAAAAGCTTAAGCCTTAGATTAAACATAATAGAAATGCAATTTAACCTTTAGTATTACGTGTTGTATATTTGTACTATTTACATAATATTTTTAATTCAAGAAGCTCTTCAAAAGTTAAAATATTTGGAGCAAAGTTCTGATTCTTTTTTTCTTCAGATGGTTTAGCATACGTTTTCAAAAAGTTGAACAAACACAAACATAAACCAGCGTCCATGGCACTCACTCCCTGACCGGGACATCATCCAGGCATCAATCGAGAGTGGCGCAAACCGGACATCATTCCCAAAACTCATACTAGGGCGGATACAGGGTATGAGCAGAATGCGCGAAAAACCGAGGAAAGTATCATCCGGATATCATAAGACGGACATTAGTATTGTTCTTCGCGTGTATCGAGAGAGAGAGAGAGAGAGAGAGGTATGACAGGATAGGTATCAAACGGGCATTTGATAGGAATCATGACTTCACAGATTCCGGGTATAAACGGACAGCGAGGGCAACCGGGGGGGAGGGGGGGGGGGTGTGTGCAAGGCTAGGGGAGGGAGGCCGAGGGAGCTCGTCGGAGACAGAGAGAGCGAAGACGGAGGGGGGCGTAAGAAGAGGTGGAGGAGGAGAATCAGGCATCAGCAGCAACAACAACGACATCATCATCATCCCCAGAATACACCTCTCTCTCTCTTACACATACACACGTACACGCACATACACAGCAACATTCTGAAGCGAAGAGTAGAAGAATAATCTTAAGGGAAGGGGAAGGGAAAAGGGTAGTAAACCTTTTGGTGTGGTGGGGGGGGGAGGGAGAAGGGAATGCCCGAAATCGGCCTTGGCGATGGCCCAACCCACCATCATCACAGCGCGGCAGCTGGAATCTCGACTTCCCCATCGCCCCGACCGCTGAAAAATACCCTCCGCCCATGAGCCCAAGTCCGTCCGCCCCGCCAATTCGCGACCCCGCAAGGCAAAACCCCGCCCTCTCTGCCCTGCTCCGTCAATTGCATCGCCCCCCATTGGACGCAGGGGCCCAATTCCCTCGCATGGGGGGCCGCCTGCAGTTTGCGTGATTGCGCCTCCCCCGCCCTGGTCCGGTGTCACCAACCTCCATGCTGCAGGTATGCGCACGGGATGCTGGGATTAATGTGGGGGATTTTTTTTTTTTTTTTTTTTTTTTTTTTTTTTCCATTCTCTTCTTCTTTCTGTTTTCTGTTTTATTTTTTTGGTTTCTAGGGTTCCTCGCTCGTGTTGTGAGGTCTGTAAGCGGCGCAAGGAATTATAATTTGTTTTGGGTACAATTCCAGGCGTTCGAGGATGGACGATAATCTATACGGTTTGGATTTTGAGGTGTCGGGTTGTATTATGGGTATTGACGTGACAGTGAAGGAGTTTGATCATGGATTTCTTTTTCTGTGTCTGTGGTAGTGATTATAATTTTGATTACGACGTTGGGGTTATTATATGTTGTATTTTTCGGTTTTAGAAAAATTTGCATTGTGTGTAGGATTTCTGTTACAATTTTCCTGGTGATGAATTTCATGGAAATGTGATTGGGGTGGAAATGGTGGACATGATGTCTAGGTCTAAAGTAGGCAGGGTAGGGTTTTTTGTGTGCGGGGGAGTTGTATTTTGTTCTAGACGTTATCTTCTTGCATTTCAACGTGACACTGGGCGTTGTCCGATTAAGTTTTGCTGTTTTACGTTTTGGATTGTGAGTTGTACTTCCGAGCGAATGTGGAATTTAGCTATCGTTGTGCAATGTGGTCTTCTTGCCCTGGAGGTTTACAATCAACAAATGATCCTAGATATCTTGTAATCGCTCAATAAAATGAAGTTGTCGACTAGGAATGTAATGTGGTACTTTGGCGCCTTTTCGAGCCTTTGAATTGCACTGACCACTCCTTGGTTTCCCGCTTTATGTGAGTATGAATGTTTGAATGTGGTCCCTACGTCTGTTTCTGTGAACCTTGCTGATTTATTTCCTTCTGAAGCCTGCTTTTACTTTCATGAATGCTGCAGTTTCAAGTGCTCGCATGCAATAATGATTGTTAAAATCCCACAGTTTAGTTTTTCGAAGCGGACCCGATGCATCTTGCAACCGACAAGAAATCGCTAACTTTTAGTACCTTAGTACATTAAGTTGAGGTTGTATTCGGGTCAATTTGGACGAGGTGGTCTGGTTACTGGATAGATTTTCGAAACTTTTTATGCTACCAAGATCATGTCTAATATCTGTGGGGTTCGCTCGAATGATCACTATCCAAGTGCACTTTTGATAGTTCTTGTTCAGCCTCGATATCTAGTTTCTGTGATTCCTTCATTTGATTTGCACATATCTTGTCGTATTTGCAAGAGCTGTTTACTTGAGCTTACTTCGAGTTGAAGAGTTTATGCTCTTGCTATCTCAGATGGCATTTGTTTCGTCATCTTGCTATTCTGAACCAGCTACGTCACCTGTTGGATCTCAGGAGCTTAGGAGTTGGGTGTGGGTGTTGCAAACTTGCTTGTTGAGGTTTCTTGTAGCTAGTGATTCTTGTGTTATTTATAAAGAATAATACAACTAAACAAATTTATGTCGATATAAATTCTGCGTTGTTTCGTGCCTGCATAAATGTTCCATATATATATATATATATATATATATATATATATATATATATATATATCTCTAAAGACTCCTTGTTTGTTTTAGTGGAAGGCTTCCCATTGATTTGTCTTTGAAGCTGAACTTGTCAAGAGAAGGGATTTACGACACGATTTATTGTTCGCAGGTTGAGATTTGTTCGGTAGTTTACTATAGGGGCTGGACTAATGTAGCAAAAGATAGGAATAGATTAGAAGAAGAAAGACTGAATAAGAGAAAAAAGGATTGAGGAGATCCTGGATGGGCAACAAGGTCCTGAGCGCTTGGTCAGTGCAGAGCCAGATCCCATGGGCGCTGTGGCTGGCACTGCAGCTGCCATAAATAATAACGAGCCTTCACCGCGTGGCTCCGCAATTGAAATAGCTCAAGCTGAATTGAGGTGCGATATTTCACCTCTTTTCATAACGCTGGTCCATTCTTTCAACCATGCCTTCGCGTACTATGCGTGCCCTCCTTCATAAGCGGTCTGTCGAGAATAAGTGTAGATCAATGAAAAAAGTTCTTTTACCACCTTCAACTCAGGCGAGATCTTGCTGTTCGAGAGGAGCGCAAGAGGGAGCTGGAGGTCTTGGAAAAGGTAATGATTCTTCTTTTATTCAGTTCTTTGATTGTTTGAAAGTTCTAATTGCTCTGAACTTTGGTGAAGGTTCAGCTGTTACTTGTTACTTTGGGAATGCTATTTTAAGGGGTGTTAGTGTGCTGTCTCCTGAATTTATCTCTCCATTCTGCATCTAGGGCGGAGAGCCTTTGGATTTCAAGTTAGGGGAAGCTTCACCAGCTCAATTTTCATCTTTCTCATTAACAATATTACTGGCTGATCAGTACTTGAAGTGTTTGGGGTGGGGTTAAGAGTTTTGGGATGCTTTGGGGCTTGTTTCCTCCTTTTCGTTGGTTTGAAAAATTTCGTCTGTTGTTAGAAATCTGCAGCGAGTTGATTGTCTGCCCTTTGGAAGGCATACATTTATGTTCTCAAGATCGTTTGTCGTTTGTCCTGGCAACCTCTGTTGCGATCATGGATGTATTGAAATGTGATTTCTTATGCTTCTGTGGATGTAATGAGTGACTTGGTCAGAAAATCTGTTTTTTACGATTTTGTAATTCAATCTAAGTAGTGGACGAAATCACGCTAGAAAACTAATAGAATTGGATGTATGTGTGGGGGTAAAACTGATTATGCCGTAAGTGGTAATACTCTCCGGTGTTTATTCCTTATTTGATCATTTGTATTTTAGAAAGCAGTTCAGTAGTATCAGAAAGAAAAAGTAGCACGAAAGAGTTCATATCAATGTGCTTTAATGTCTTCTATTTTCCTTCCTCTCTTATTCTTACTATGATATTGTATATTTCTTACAGAGAGGGTGGGATAGGCTTGAGGCAGAATTTGACTGCTAATGGGGATGCTTCTGCTTCAAGTCAACTAATTGTGCTAGGAGGAGATCCAGATGAAGATGATTGTGAAATACCACTTGGTTTGAGGAATTATTTAGACAATCCGAACTTGATTGCAAGACAAGATCAATCAGGACCCGAATTGGATCGCCTATAGAAATGGCTCAATATCTGAAAAAGATGGTGAATGTGTAGCTGGGAGTGCTTTGACAAGTAGTGTGGAATTTGAGCACGAGAATGAACCCATAGCAAGGTGTGGATTATCGTTGAACCAGCATGCAGCAGAAGCCAGCTGTGAAGATCCAATTTCGTCTTATATGTCTGTACAGTCGACTAATTTGTGGGTCGATCCACATGTTGATAGTGATGGGGAAGAACGAATATGGCAATCCGTAGCTAGTGAAGGTCGCGTCGAGCAAGTTGAAGGTTCAATTGCTCATGTACAAAAAATTGGCGAGCTTGGAGACGCTGATGCTCTACCTGCTCGGCATAATGTAGAGGATGTATCAATTATAGAAGCATCTGTGGGTAATTCCTTCAGAACTAGGGTGGAAGAAGGGATAACTGGAAACCAATCTCATCGAATAGAAAATAAAGAAAGGCTTGTCTCCATGGAAAAGGATAACAGCAGGTACAAAGTGGGAGCTAACCTAGATGGTCTATCAAGAGCTGTTGGCGGAGTCAATGTTTTGCATGCTAACACCAGCACAGATGTTCCCGGTGGCGCTACTTTACTTATGCGTGCCGGGTTGGTCAAAAAGAATGCTGTCTCGAGGGCAGGAAATCATATCAGATCAGCAACCAGAGATAGGTTAGGACAAGAGGAGAAAAGGGCTGGTGTTTATCACGTAAGAATCAAATATGAAGACGGAGTCGGTGAGAATAGGGCAAGGCCTTTTGCTACAGATGCGGAACTAGGTTGTCAGCACACTAGTGGTGCTCCAAGTTCTCAAGAAGAACTTCGGGCGGAAGGACAAGCTGGTGCTGTCGTCGGTGGTGTTCCAAGAGCACTTTCGCGGTTATCCGGAGTCTCTGCCTCATCAAATTGCATATATCCTGGAGTAAGAATCCCTTGGAATAAAGGACAAGGTCCGTTATCACAAATGGGATCGGAGGGACGTAAGACAGGAGTGCAAGTAAAAGCTAACGAGGCGCGTGCAGACTTCATTCTAGCGGAGGCCCAGAACCTCAAGGTGCTGAACGTTTCTTCGATGTTGCGATTCTTCTTCTTGATAGTTGTCTCATAAAACGTGCGGATGCAAGTTGTGAATTGTAGAATCCGTGGGGTGGTATTCAGTTTAATCTCATACATGCTGCTTACAGGTCAAGAAGAAATTCATTGGGGACTGGCATTCTATGGAAAAGTCTTCTGAGCCCGCAAGACGAAAAACCCATTGGGACTTTGTGCTGGAGGAAATGTGCTGGTTGGCAAAGGACTTTTTCCAGGTATGTGCTTTGATCTATTTATTAGCATTATAAGTGGTATCAAAAGTCTTTTCAATCGCTGTCATTGCATACGTGTGATATGAGTAATAGTTCATCTCAAGACAATGGATCAGCTAGTTTTGTGTCGGGACATAGGAGCAGTGTCTGTCTTTTGATGATGGGGGGGGGACATGTATCTTCCAAACATGTGGAATGCATACATGTCATATTTCCAAAATCTTAAAAATGATGATTGATTTTGTGTATGTGATCAAATTGAGCATATATATATATATATATTTCGATCAAAATTATTTTATTTATTTATCGTCGTTGAATCTGTTCGTATTGATCTCGCCTAAAGATTTATTTTTAGAATTCTTATTTGCATGCAAATTATTTGTTTGATATGCATTTAATGATACATCGTTGTAAGTTCCATCTACACATGCGTCTTTTTGAAATTTGGAAGAATTGAAAGGGGACACTATCTTGATTTCCACACTTATTATGGGGAACATTCTATACTTAAGATGAAGTACAAAATGTTCAACAAGTGACTTTCTGCCTGAAATCGTGCCTCTATACTTTTAGAAGGCAGATTTGGTTGTGTGGGAACTTACGGATGACTTGCTTGCAGCTACTTGACTTCAGCTTTATAATCGTTTTCAATACTTACAGAATGTCTATTATGAGGTGATAACTTTGTACTTGTAAGTACTGTGCGTAAGCTGCTGCTGGTTATGTTTCCAGGAACGAAGGTGGAAGATTGCGAATGCTGCTCGCATCTGTCACAGTGTTGCTTATGAGAGGAACAAAAATGAGTATCTGGCGTTGGACTCCGTGAATAGACAGCGTAATCGAGCAAGCTTTTTAGCGCTTGCTGTGAATAAATTCTGGCGCATGGCTGAGGCATCGTTGACGAAAAGGAAAGGTGGATGGGTTCATGACAAAAGTGGGAAAATAGAATTTTGCAGGAATGGCAAAAACGAGGGCGAAGCTGTTCCAATAGACGTTGACATTCCTGATCCCGCCTTGAGAGAGGTATTACTTTTCCTTGTTAGTATGCATTACGTCTTGTATTCTCGCGGTAGTGTTCTTATTGAGGATTTATTCCGCTGTGTCTGTATTCAACATCTATGGTCTTGTGGCCGTTATCGTATTTTTGAGCATTCCTGTTTTCCTTCGTTAGGCTCTGGACAAGTCCGAGAAGTTGAAGAAAAAGAATCTGTACGGTGTTGAGAGATATGCCGTAGATTATTTGAAAGCCAGCGGTTGTGGTCGAATGGCACAAGCTGTAGCTTCTGTTTCTCACAAGCTATATTGGGAATGCAATGGCATTCTATATTTTAATGATCAGGAACGATTTTCCAAGGTACCCTTTGTTAACTCTTGTGTATACCTCTTTGTTCATTCTTGAAGTCATGGTCCTCCCTCATTTGATTTTTATGAAGTTTGATTCTTGTGATAATATAATATGGAAGCATATTTGGTTGTCATGCATCTTGGTATGGTTTGGCCGTATTCCATCTGAGGGGGTCCATCATTGTGGGTGCTGTAATAATGGTCGACTGGATTGTGTCCTAAATTTAGTTCATTACGTTTGCTGATAGTTTTTTGTGCTTTGTTTTATGTTGATTCTGTTGGACGGGACTAATATAACTGTCATAAATTTAAGCAGGAGCCGTTGTACTACAATGTACCATCTGGGGCTGCGGAAGCTTGTAGAGTTTCTATTGAAATGGAGAGAACAAGGGCTGAAGTGGTATGTATTGAGATTTTTTCTGTGATGACTGAATGTGACGTTACTGCTTGTATTCAAGTATTGTTGGATTAACATGAGTAATCTGAAATCTGATATTCATGTTTTGAGCTTTTGTGAGATTGAATCAGTTGCGTCTCCTTGACAACATGTATGACAGGAGAGGGGTTTGAAAAATGTATTGACTTTTTTCAACGTTTGTAGGAGTATGAAGCGAAGCGTGTAGTAGCGGTTGCTGAAGCAGAGGCGCCGGCCGCTGGTGAAGCATCTGGAGAAGTTTCCCTGGGAATTGATTTTGGGTTTTCGGACTTTCTTGTGGATGGAGGCTCTCAAGAAGACGAATTTCAGACAAATTATATGGGTGAAGGAGGTCATGCGCGCATTTACAAAAAGAAACGGAAGAAGATTCTCAAAAGCAATACCGGATCAAAGATTGAAGGGATTGAACTACAAGGTATGGTATTGCAATGCCGTGAGTACATATCATTACTCGCTCATGAGTCTCTTGAGTCAACGTCAAGGTGCTCCTCTAGATTAATCACTTACAGTTGATTAGCAGATTTATACTTATAAGCCATTTTCTGGGGTTCGCAGGACTTGCTTACCAATCCTCAGATATGTCTACTCCTGACCGGAATGTTGTCACCGGAAAGCGGTCATTACCCGGAGAATCGGGACCCAACAATGCTCCTGGAAGCATTCCAGTTAAGCGGCAACGTTCATCAGCCATCAACCTCCGACCACGTGCCAGTCACTTGAGCATCTCACCAGGTATAGTTACCGGTCATCGTGGATATTGGATGTTAAGATATTGGCTTCTCTATGAAATTCCGAATGAAATCCTTACTATGCTTACAACAAACGCTATAGCATTCGCTTTTGTGACCTCAACTGTTTTTTTTTACCCGTCTTCATGCGACGACGTGATAAAAAGTGGCAGCAGTCTTTTCTTATTCATCTTCGGATTTGCTGGTCCACCTGTATTGAGTTAACAGATTGTTTCATTTTTCTGTGTACGTTGGCCTCCCAACCTGCGATAGCCACAAATGATTTCTGGATAGACTTTACATTTACTGAGATGTAGTTGCATTAGGTTGGATATTCTGGCAGTCATCTTTGTAATGGTTGTTTGACATCCTTGGCGTGACTATTTTCTTCAGGTACGACAGGGGTGTTATCTCGCACGGGACCAGGCTCACAGAATCAGCAAGAAGGTGAAAGTTTTGGCATGTTGGATGGTTCCAATAGATCAGACTCTGCCAATGATACTTCCAATAGCAAAACGCACAGGATTGGTGATGTGGGTGGTTTTATTACAAACAAGTGGAACAAAAAGCAGAATCCGAAGACTTTTCCAGAATTGTCTAATTCAAGATCTTTTGAAGGGGGATTTCCTGCAGGACCACCTGAAAAGGTATTCAACATTTGAGTATTGACGTGACATTGCTCTGGAGCTCGAATTCCTTGTACAATATTATGTCCCGTTGATTTTGCTATAGTGGATTGTATGGATGACATGAAGTTGAAATCTTGCCAACTGTAATATGTAAGGCTATGCCTGGTTTTGCAGAGTGCCGATGAAGATTCTCATGAACTTCTATATCATGAGCAGGTATCTAAGATTGAGTTTTTCTACGTCTTTTTCACGGATTGGGTTGTAAAACGAATGGATTGAATGAATATTATCTACTTTACCTTCAGAATGATTTGAAAATTTTCTTCTTACAATGGTTGGTAAAAAGAAATCTGTTTAAACATATGTGTATCTTTTGTGGAATGTAAATCACCTGAAACTCTCAAATTTTTTAATAGTTTTTTGTTTGGTAGTTCTAAGACTCCAGCACTTTTTGGATTAACTATTAATGCGCTGAAGTTGTTTATGACTATTAATAGGAACAGATAAAACGTAAAGGAGAAACAAATTGGTCATTTGTTGTAACTTCATCAGATGCGAGCCTAGGTAAGTTCTACGAGTCTTTTCTATCAGATCCCACTTGTTAACATTTTCTGTTTCTAAGGGCGCTAAACTGCTGCTGTATAAGAAAGGTGCATTACATATAGTATTCGTCATTTTTGTATGTTGTTTTTATTTTCCTTAATGTTACTGGATAGCATTTTGTCTGAAGCTGTTACGCATAGCAGGAACACCGACAGATACACCAGAAACGCCAGGATCACAAAGTCTTTCAGGGCAACAGAATGTGAAGAAACAAAAGTCATCGAAGCAGAGTGAGACCGATGCTGAGACAGCTACCCCTGCCCCAGCACCTAATCCACCCACCCTGCAGCAACCGCCTTCTTTACCAAGTGCGAACAAATTATCGAAGCAAAGCAGTATGCGGGACCGTAATAGAAGGCTTCGGTTAAACAAAGTGAGGGCCTTGTGATGATCATCTGTGTCTCTTCTTTTTACATAATGACTTTCTCTCTCCAATTGCAGAGTACGCAGATCAAGTCGTCAGTCTTTTTTCAACTTTGTGGTTAATGATCCATTTGTTCAGGGTGTGTGTTTTGATTGTTCTTCTTGTGCTGGTCTCGTGTATAGCTTTCTAAATCCTGTTCTTTGCAGGTTCCTCCGAGTACACCGATTGGTGTTGGCACGCCTTGGTCAGCTAGTGAAGATCAAGTGAGTTCGAACTCTCAAGATTCAATTTGAACTTAGCACATGAGCCTCTTGTTTGTAAGAGCTTTTCTTTTTGGCGAGATACCTACATGAGTTATATTGGTACACTACGTCTTTCTATATCTCACATGTTATTGCTACTGTAATCTTGTGCAGGCAATTCTTGCCCTAGTGCATGATCTCGGTCCCAATTGGGAATTAGTGAGTGATGTGTTGAGCTCAAATTCTCAAATAAAGGTATGTTACAATCTTTCACTACTGGTATTGTAGATGATAACATTTTCGGTGTTGATAATGCAGCAGGATAACATTCAGAGATATTCAGGTTTCTGCAAAGACTTCTCTCGTTACAAGTCTACTATATTGTCTTAGTCTGAGGGTAATTCTTATCCAATTTCTCGGAGCTTGAAAATCTTGATATGGAACTTTGCGCAGGGTATTTACCGAAGACCCAATCAATGTAAGGAGCGACACAAATCTTTGACGGAGAGATCCAATTTAGATGGGATGGAAAGTCCAGAGGATTCAAATTCTTCTCAGCTACAGAGTTTGAAAGTAAGTTGTGCTTAAATCGTAAAAAATGCATCGTCTCAGTTTTCAGCGACTTTGAGGTGGTAATAATCATGATCCGAGGAGTTTGCATAATAAGATAGTGGTTTGCATCGTGTGTTATCCCCCCCCCCCCCCCCCCCCCTTTTTTTTTTTTTTGTCTTGAAATCAATTTTTTTGCATTTCGGAAACATCTTTGCGCTTTTAAACAAGTTTTATGAGGTTATGCATCTTGAAACAGTATTTTGTCGTCAGTCCCTAGGCGATTTTGTAAAAACTGAAATTACTTCTTATGAATATGTGTGGAACAGGGGAGTGTTCATGGAGGTACACGTGTTCATGGAACACCAGAGGAGGATAGTCTAAAACATCTGGAGTGCATTGTTCAACTCGTCCTGAAGTATCGTGCCCGAAAGAGCTCGGTAGGAACTTCGGCATCATCTGTGACTTTTCTCTTCTCATTAATTTCGTGTAATTTTTGGATAGGAATAAAACACCACCCAAGTGTTCGTGCGTGCTATACCCCTCAGATGCGTAGGTTCAGCTTTCGAAGATTAAACCCGCTTTTTGAACTTCATTAGTACACCTTAGAGTCTGTTTGCGGTTCGCCTGGTTGGCTTATTTTCTTTGTGGTGACAGCAAGTTGGGTATACTTTATTGAGCAGAGTGAAAATGAAGATCAAAAAACTTCAGCTGCCCAGCATCCATCTCATGGAATCGCTATTTCTCAGTTTTGCGCTGGTGGCCCCCTCAAGTAAGTCATTTGGAGAGTGTTTTTGCTTCAAATATTCAAGGTTTGGGTGGAAATATTATACCGTCGTAGTGCATGGTGATGTTCGGCAACTGTGTGTTATAGGATTCTGAAGGGTTTCAATAGTTGTTTGTTTGACATCACAGGTTTGTTGGCCCTAATCTTATCCTTCTTATTGAATATTAGTGCTGGTAGATTTTTATTATGCCTGTAGATGTATACTTCGCTTTTAGTGATTCTCTTTTCCACTACGTGCATGCAAACATATTTACGTGTTTCACTCTAATTAACATGTTCTTTTTCTATGGGTGGCAAATTCTGGGTGCCAGTCCTTTGGAGTTATGTGATCGGGTTGCAAATAATGGGGATGCGAACTCACACTCATACCCCATCCAGCCTGTACAGGGCAGTGGGTTAGGACCTTCGTTGATGCCTGGCTCTGCGATGAGACCACCATCAGCAGGGTTACCTTCTGTGTTACCAGGCTCTGCTGGTTTACATTTGGGTCAATCTCCAGTTTCTTCCTCTGCTGCCATGAGTGCTGCAGCTGCACGGTAATGTGATGATATTCATATAGTTGACACAATTACATCTTACACTGAGTACATCTGGACCCTTCTAAGGATTAAGTGATGAGAAGATGTTTACCATGCTCATAATTCCATCGACTAAGGAATCAGAAGTTCAAGAAAGCCTTCATTGAACTGATCTATTTTGCCACAGTATGTTGAGTTAATTGCAAATGCTGTATTTATCGATTTGACTGAACTATCTTAACTTTTTCTTTTTCTTCACCTTACTCTTCGTACTGAAGAAGAATTAGATTCCTCTTGTAGATCTTGTAATCCTTGCTGCTCCTCAAGATTATAAGCGCATTTCTTTCCCCTCTTTTTTATCATTAGCGAGTTAAAATGGATGTGGTTGTTTTGTGCAGAGATGCACAGCGATTCACCACGAGGTTATCCCCTGGAGAAGCCACACGTTTGCGAATGGCTGCAAACAACATGTCAGCCTACAACGCGCGCCGTTTACAGCAGCAGGCTGCTTCTGTTACTGCAGGATTACCTATTCTTACTGGTTTGCCAAACCCAAATGATCTTCCCATGCTTCCCACAAGCACTGGGGCAATGATGGGTGCTCTAAGCCGTGGCTTGTCAATGCCGAGACCTGGTTTGTCCAGTATGGGATCGCCAGTGATTTCTAATATCGTTCCAGCTGGTCTTGGTGGCATGGTGCCTCCACCAGGAACCCTCTCTTCACCTAGTATGTCGAGGAGAACTGCCAATCTGCTGAACATGCTGCGGGTGTGTATTAAGTTTTTTCAATTAGTTTGATGGAGATTACGCTTAACTACATCACTTAGCTTTTAATACGTTGATAATATCTACTTTCAGTATGATATAATGACTTTCCTTTTCATCTTTAGGGTTTACCGTATCATTAATTTTTTATTCGGAACATCAAATACATTATGAACTGCCGACGGTTTGTCAATATATATATATATATATATATATATATGAATGTGTGTGTGTGTATTTTCTGGAACAATCATAATTTTCTGAGTAGGTCATCCACGTTTGTGGAGTGCCTGGGAATCTGGAGGTTTGGTGCAAATATTACCTTTGCATAAAAGAGCATCGGTTGTTTCAGGTGGGTGGGTGCACAGAAGATCAGCGAGTACTGATCTTACAACAATTACAATTACTTGCGCAACAAGGTGATAATCAAGCTGCAGCTGCTTTCTCAAATTTGGGCGGCGACATGGCTACTATGATACCTTCCTCGCCCCAGGTGGTTGTTTAGTCCCCTTTCTGACAGTATTCTTTTGATTTTATCTCCAAGAACATCTATATTAGTCAACTCATCATTTGCATCTTCTGTTAGCCATCTGTTGTTGTAACTGATTACACACGTTGGAAAGGTTTGCAAGTCTACAAAGGTCGAAGGAAAATTCGCTGGACCACCAACTGTTACTCTGCGTCCAGATGAAGCAATTAGTACTCAAACATTTTAGAAAGCCATGCTTAGAAATAAATCGTAGCAATGCTAATGGATTCGTTCTCATGTGCCACCGCGACTCATATGGACGTCAATTTTTTCTCTGCTGCAGTCATTCTCCCCTCAACATCATTCGATTCAGTTGCAACAGCATCAACAGCAGCAAGATCAGCAGCAGCAACAACAGCAGCACCACCAGCAACATCATCAACAACAACAAGCTCAGCAACAACAGCAACAGCAGCAAGTTCAAAATCAGCAACGAAATCAACAGGTAAAATCACTTAAATGCATGTCTTTTTATTTGTTTACTTATTTCTTTTTGCAGTACTAATTAACAAGCTTCACGTTCTAATGATGCGTTATATTGAGTGTGTCTATTTTCCCATTACAATCTAATATTTCTCTTGTTTTATTCATGCATGTCTTTGACCACCGTTCCATTGATTAAAACTGTTGCATCTGGGTATTTAGTATTGTCCTCCATTCCTTCTTGATTATATGCTTGTTCTTGTAAATTTGTAAATGTATGTTGGGACCCGAAGTTACAAACTTATTGTTTGCGTGTCTCTCTTGTGAGCAACAACAGATGCAGTTGCAAGGAAACCCTACCCAGGCTTATTACTCAGCAGCAGCTGCTGTCCGTATGAAAGAACAACAATATCGGCAGCAGCATCAGCAGAAGCAGCGGCTCATGGGAACCCTTCCACCTACTCAAGCCCAATATATGCTGGTGTCACCCCATGTGCAAAACCTTCCTGCTCAGCAGTTGGGCTCTAAGTCCCATATGTTGTCCCAACAACCGCAACGCACCCATTTAGGTCAGCAGCATCAGGGGTCTGGTCTTTCGTCCCAGTCGTCTCAGCCAGCTTTGAGTACATTAAATCTGCAGTCTTCCTCAGCTTCACCAACTGCAACAGGGCAGTCTAACTCTTCTGCACAGCAGATGCCTCTACCACAGCAGAACCAATCTGTTGTGCAGCCGGGAGAGGCTACTGGGTCAGCCAAACCTCCACAAGGAAAGCAGCCACAGAAGTACCCGACGCAGACCTCACAAATTATGCAGCATCATCAGCAACACCAGCAGCATACTGTAAGAAATTCTAAGGGGCCTATGCGAGGAGCCATAATGCAGAATCTCCCTTCACAGACTGGACAACAAAGTCCTAATAACTTGAGTGGTGGAAGTAATCAGCCATTAAATGAGACTCCTGGGCACATGCTAATTCAGCCACAATTGGGACAGGTGCAGGCTGGGAAGGCATCTTCAGGGTCTCATCCCTCTGGTTCATCTCAATCTCATGGAAGTTTGGCACAAGGAGGCACCCCATCATGTTCTGGAGTCTCTCAAATTAAGGGACTTCACCAATCTCAAACACAGCCGCAGCAGGTGATAGCTCAAATATACCTTTATCCAGATATATCAATATTGTTTTGAAGTTTCTTTGTCATTGGCTTTTTTTTCCAGAAAATTAAAGTTAGAAGGCACATGTTCTAAGTCTTGTGTGAGATCATGCTTTCCTTCTTACTCATCGGTAATGTCTTCTTCTTTTTTCTTTTTTTTCTTCTGTATTTTGTATTTTGTATTTTGTATATTTTTTTTTTAACTAATAAATTCATTCCCTCAAATCATGCAGGGTGGTGTTCCTGATCAACAGCAGGGGAGTTCAATTCAGATAGCTACCCAAGTTTCTCTCCCGCAGTCAGGCTCGTTACCAACTTCCAGCGAACAATCACAAGAGCCCTTAGCTACGCCTTCGGCGCAACAAACGCAGCAAATGCAGCGACGTCAGATGCCTCAGCCCCAACAACCACAAAGAAGGTCAGTGCTTTTCATGTGAGGATGGAGAAATAAATTGCTCGTCGTTCTCTTGTCAGCTGTTGTCACAGTATACCCGAGGCAACCTGCACAGTACTGTTCTTTCAGAGTGGATTAGAGTGCAGTCAGGAAACTGACAAAGCTTTTTTCTCTAGACTCAAATATTTTCAAACCGAAAATCTTGATGACCTTGTTGATCTAGATGGAGCTACATTTTGTACGTTCGCAACATTTCAACTCAGGATACTTTCTTCCGTTAAACAGTAGGTTGTATGGATACAGGTTACAAAGTCGACATCTTAGTGCGACTCCTTTGGTTATGCCCATGCCAGGGCAATTGGGAAAGACAGGAATGCAGCAGACGAACCAAGATGTTTCTCCGCAGATGGTCAACCACAACCCTTATCAACTGGGTGGAACAGCTATGATTGGAAATCCTATGAGCATGAGCAGCCCTAATTCACATGTTGTGTCCCTTCCATCTACACTTAATTCAAGTACGATTGGAGCACATTCTACGCAGTGGAAATCTAGTCAATCCAATAATCCTCTCACTGGTGGACTATACAATTTGACGAGGGCGAATAGTCCAGGGTCAAGCCAAGTCTCAACAATGGTGATCTCTGGTCCGCAGTTGCCGACTTTTGCTGGAACCGCCGCTGTGCCAACTCTTTCTACCTCTGGAATTCATGGTGTACCCACAGGGAGTGTACCACAGAATCTTGCTGGTAAGCAATGCCTTTCTAACATAGTACTAAATCAGAAGATTGGCGTAAACCCAGGGGTGAATGGGAGGGTCCTTTCAGGCGCACAACAGCCAACCTTGTCTGGGCAGCGTAGTCAGCAAAATGGTTCAGTGGTAATTTCTTTACCTTCGGGAAACTCACAAATGACAGCACCTGGCTCTTCAGCATCCACTGGTGGCTCGCCGACTTCAGGAGCAGGTGTCCCTCCTCAAGGAGAAGGCCTGCTTGTACCAGACACGAGAGACTCAGCACCTGGTTCAAGTCATTCTGCATCCAGTCCTATGTTGATAGACAATGGGCAGGTTCGTTTTTCGTTGGGTTCACTAAATACTGGATTATTTGTTGTCTAAAAGCTCGAGTTTTTCTGAACTTTCATATTGACCTCTGGTTCGTCAAGTAGCTTTTTGCGATGCATTTATATTTTGAATTGATTATCTTATGATGTGACGTCTCACAGGCACGCCAGTCTGGAGGGGTGATTTTGTCATCACCTAAAACTTCGGTTCCTCGAAAACCTGCTGTGTCTGCAGCGACAGCTGCTAGTGATGGCATCTCTTCTGGGAGCACGGTGTCTTCTACTACTTCTGGTCCAGGTCCTCCCAATACGGAGGCAACTCCAGCTTCATCTTTCTAGCCCATGGCTCTCTGCGCTTTGTATGTGTAGCTTTGAATTAATCTACATGCACATTGCCGCCTGTAATCACAGCAGGTGTTGAATATTCAAGCGGGAAGTTTGAATCCTACAACCTTATGTGGGCTCTTGGCTTTTTCTTCCCAACGTGTATTGTTCGAAAATCATTTGCACGTTTCTGCCCCTCGAGTTACGGGCTCCTCTGTACATTCTTATCCCCAGAAACTTGCTTTGTGCTCCTTTTGAGGTGCAAGGAAGTTTTGCTTATGATCTCTTGTAACACTAGCCAGTTAATCTTTGTCATAAAAAAAAATCCCCATTTTTTTCCCCCATTTTTCCAGTACTTGATCCATTGTAAAATTCCTCTAACGTGTGACTCAAGTTTCTGCACTATTTTTTCTGTTTCACATGCATGCTTGGCATCAATGGTTGTCTAGAGCAGTTGTTTATCAGGCGAAGAGTGGTGTACAGTTTTATGCATCCTGGATTCTTTTTCGTGACCTTAGTATTGAAAATGAACGTAATCACGTTACTGAGAGCTGGTGTATATATATTAGTCAATCCCTACTGACCGTTAGGGAGTAAGAAAAACAGTTCTATCGCAGTAGCTCTTAGAGAATGGAATAATGCTTGCCGAGTTCATTGTTCTATTTTAGAGATGTTATCTAGTAAAATATTTTACTAGATAAGAAGTTGAAGCACACATGTATTCTCCCCATTTTGTGCAGTGTTTTTATTTTGATTACTTTGAGAGTACATTGCTTCTATCAATATTAAACCCCTTCTCCAAGGTTTCATTACGAATCAATGAGAGGAATCGATTACAAGGCACGAACTCTGTGGTAGTCTCATGTTCTATGGTCGTCGTAGCCACAGATCTTACATTGATAGAAGAAATCCGCGGATCTAGGTTGACATTACCCTACAGGCCGAGGTGGGGGGGGGGGGGATAGGGCTAGATGCACGGGATCACGGGATGTTTCATGACGAGAGCACAAGTCTGCTATCCGAAGCAGGGATTATTATAGTTGCGCTGACATATCACAAACCTGATACCACCACCATTACTTTGCAGAACCAAACATGAAGTTTCTCGAGTGCAATACAAAGCTGAGGGATGATTAGCTGTGGATCGTCAACTCTGTAGAAGTGGTGAAACAGTGCCTTATTCAATCTGAGGATCATCTCACTTGTCGAAAGCTCTACACCGAGTGATTGCAGAGAACACTAAACCATACAGTGAGAATCATTACGACGCATGACTCAAATTTGCTGATAGGGAAGCTCCTGCGATCCTTGTACACATGTTAATCCAAAGGGACGTAAGCTTTCTTCAACCCTTCAGTATTTTTCGACAAGTGGTACAAAAGTGGCACAAACCCACAAGCTCAGTGGTTTTCTGTTCAAGAACGACTGCTAGGATTCAGCTGTCCGTCTGACAGCATTTGTTCTCAAAGCCCATATCCTCTCACAGTTGCAGGGGTGAACCAGGTGGACATGGCAACTCTCCACCGTTGCACGGACAGTGTACAACTACGATTACTACTACTACTCTTTCGTGACGAACCATACCAGGATTCCCTGTGACTAGTCGACCGAGGAATCAAGGTAAATCAATAACCCATCTCTTGTCGCTAGCTGAACAATCCGAAGGTTGAACAACTATTTTTTCATGAATTGAATATGGGGCTGTTGACCCCATGTCTCAGCCCAGGTAACACCTGTAACTCCTGTTAATGCCAGACCCAGTATGCAGCTATGAAGGTGACGATGATCTGCATGGATCTTGACTTCTACGGAATGTTCTGAATCCACCTGCATTGACTCTACCCAGCTGGGAAATTTAAGACATGCTGCAGGAACAAACAGAAGCTTCTCCAAGCACATGTTATGTGTAAGAAGAGCACATGCATGTGGCCTTGCATAGGTAGGTGGAAAGCAATAAAATGGTTGTGTTCTCTGTATTAAAATGAATAAAGAAATAAATAAAGTAGTGATTGTCATATGAAAAATTTATTCTTGCATTGTTATACTAGATAAAAACATTAAGTTATGAATTACCCATTGTAAATGGTTTCTTCAATTGTCATTTTAGTTTGAGAATTACAATGCAATTTGTTGTTGAAATAAACACATCATTCTCCATTATAAAAGTTAAAAGTAAAAGATAAGATTAAAGACCTAAAAATCAAGATCTACTTAATTAATTTGAGGTTGCATAAACACTAACATTTTAATTTATTAATGCTTTTAAGTAATTAAGAATTTATCCAAAAATAAGAAAAAAAGAGCCTTTTCAAAGTAGTGGTCTAGATGTATAAGCCATTATTAGGTAGTCTTACACCATCACCAAATATTTATCACAACATTTGAAGGAATTAATATCACATCTTCTCAAAAAAAGTATAAAGACTCTTATAGAAACATGAGCAAGATAATGAAGCTCAAAATATTTTTAATCTTTATTTTTTTTACAAATTACAAAAATTGAAAAACAAAGAGCAAAAGAAAAATCATTTAATTAGAATTATTTTATATATTAGAGAACTTATTAGTGCATTTAAAGTCGATGCAAGATTTTGTAAAAGGATTTTGATAAGAAAATATGGAGAGATTTGGAAGAAAAAAATCCTAACTAAGATATACTATTTTATTATATGCAAGAAACACAACCATGATTATCACCTACGAGATAATTAGTATGGTATTAGAATTTAAAGAAATGGACACTTAAGTTCTAATAATCAACTTATAAGAAGAAAAGAAGAATATCATCAAAAAGTAGATAAAAGAAGTCAAGATCCTAAAAGTATCAAACTGAACAATAATACAAAAGATTATAAGATGCAACTTATAGTTTTAACAGAGGTGGTGTGTTTAAATAAAATTCCTAAATATCATTAAGACATTCATCCAATCTATTGTAGAGAATATCAAACTTGTATTAAATTTGATTAGAGACCTATAATGATAGCTCACCATAATTTATACCACCAATTGTAAGTGCGAATAAATTAGAAATTGATGATTTGGATGTCGATGATCAAGTTCTTTAGAATAAGAAAGCCTCTAGCTTCAAAACCAAAACCAACCATACTATTTAAAAAAATATAAAAAGCTATCATGTGGTAGGAGTCACAACTAGTGATTGAGATCAAAGAAGGTTCTAAAATATCATAGAAGTTAAGAAAAGACATTTATTCTTATCTTAATCAATGAAGTAGCATAATTTTATTACACATATTCATAATGAAGTAACAACATATTTTATATATATATATATATATATATATATATATAAAGAAATTTACAAATAGAAATGAGAAAAATAAATAAGTAAATAAATAGAAGTGAAATTTTTTAACAAAGAAGAAACTTAATTGAAAGATTACAATCAAGTTAAGGATTTGGAAGACAAGTGGCTCACTATGATACATAACATGATCAAGTTTATGATTGCATTATGAAGTTGGAATATTAATTAAATTCTACAAATAATATATATATATATATATATATATATATATATGTTATATTTAAAAGGGGGTGTGTTGTATTAAAGAATAAGAATAAATTTTTATCAAACTTACAAAATTATACATTGAAGTGGAGGTAGTTGAAGCAAATCTCTCTTACTAGATCAAATATCTAAACAAGTATTTTTTGAATAAACAACCATATGATCTAATTAAGTATGTTTTAACCTTCTAAAAATATTTGGAGAATACTAAATAAAGGTTTCAAAACATTAAATCTATTATAATACCAATTATTGGCTTAGCTTCTAATATATAATTAAAAATTAAAAATTAAATATAAACTAATTAATGTTAGACCAAGAATAGAGAGATGGCAGTGAATTAATTAGCTAAGAAGTGAAAGTAGTAGAGAATATCCACTCTAAATAAGTATAATTGAAAAAAATCACCTTCTTTGTTATAGAATATATATATTCTTATTATTATAATAAACATAGAATTGTAATTAGAAGATTAGAAATCCACGTTAGGTGATTGTATTAAAACCTCCTTTTAAAAATAAATAAATAAATAAAATCTAGGTTTAATGTTTCAAAATCTACTTGTTTATTTTTATTAATTGATGTTTTTTTTAATCAATATATATTTCCAGATTTGATTTAAAATCCTTCAAGAAGTTTTTCTTTTAGTGAAATATACTTATCAGAAAAATTTATTACAGAGAATTACTGGTATTTTTGAAACATAAAAACATGTGTGTAAAGTAATTGGTATCCAATATATGTATATATATATATATATATATATATATATTTGTTTGTATTGAGATCTTCCACTTGCACCCTAATATCTATTTTATTCTACATGTATTCAATTATTACAAATTTTTCTTATGTCTTTACAGCCAATGTATTCCTTACCATTGTCATTCTAAATATATAAAATAATATCACTATTCTTTCTAATTTTGAACAATGTGTATTCCTATTCAATGTTCAAGTTGCACATGATAATCTCTCCAAAATCTCTTGAATTTTACTAACCACCAAGTAAATTTTATTTGCAATTAAATTATATATATATATATATAAATAGTTCCATCTATTGTTCTTTTATTTTCTTTTCATCAATCAACTATCTTGACTCACACTTAACGTTATGAATTCATAGCACTCATTAATAGGGATCATCCATCCATCCATCCATCCATCCATCCATTCATTCATTCATCCATCCATCCATCCATTCATGGATGAGAATGCGGACCCGTCCGATGATGATGCGGCGATGCCCGAGTAGTTTGAGCCCCGAGGCGACTGTACGACGACGACGACACCGCCGCCGCCGCCTCGACAACTTCCTGTCACCACGAGTTCTGCGCCGTAACCGCGGCGACCTGGGATCTGTTCATACCGCGGTCCGTGTCTGTAAGTAAGCAGCCTAATCCAATTTGGGGTCTGCAGGTGAACGGGGGACTCGCCGCGGCGTGACGAGGAAGGGACCTGCTGTTGAAACTGCGGCAGTGTCGGAGCCCTGAAACTGCCGCGCATGGCGGTGGTCCATGTGCATCTATCTTCTGGTCGACGGAAACCTTGAAAGTTTCGATTGTCTCGAAAGCCGCGTGGACTAAGTCTGCACATATTTTGTCGGTAATACTGGAAATTGCAGAGATGCATTCTTCAGACTGTACATCTCCCCCACTGAGAGAGAACAATCATCTCGGTGAATATTGGTGGGCTCCGTCGACGTGGTCCTGAAGCATCTGATTCGTCGGATAAGTCTGCAACTGCGGTCGGTAGACATTGTATACATTGTATATATGTTGTTCCGTGTCATTTCTTCCAAGTGGTCGTATCCAGCTCGC